CAACTGCCACAAACATTTCCTGAGTACAACCATTGCTGGGTAATTTCCTATCTGAAGTCACAGCCTTCTTCTGATCATGTGAGGCAACTTTTTCCCAGGAGGGGGAATTCCTGGAAAATTGGTGAACTCCCCAGCAATTCACCTCAATAGTAGTCTTTTCACACTGGAAAATTAATGTCTCTACATTTAAATAATCCACTGATGGTCAGCTGGACTCCTTAAGTTCCAGTTTGAGCTAGCTAGAATGACTCCATCCAGCAGTGGCCCTAATTGTGGAAACCAAGTCTTAAGGAATAACATCTCTTAAGAGGGATTTCTTTATCTCAATTCTTGATCCTACAGTTTTACAGCTGTTTACACATATACAGTTGTGTTCAAAATAATAGCAGTGTGTTGAAAAAAGTGAATAAAGCTCAAAATCCTTCTAATAGCTTTTATTTCCATACACACAAATGCATTGGGAACATTACACATTCTATTCCAAATCAAAACATGAAACATGAAGAAAAATATATCAAATTTGTGTTGTTCCTCTAACAAATTGAAGAAAAGTGAATATTAGACTCTTCAAAAAAATAGCAGTGTTTGTATTCTTTTTACAAACTCAAACATTCACTATATAAACTGAAAAATGTTTGAAGGTTTTGCTTTCCTTTGAATCAATTAATATTTAGTTGTATAAGCACTGTTTCTGAGAACTGCTGTACATCTGTGTTGCATGGGGTCAACCAACTTCTGGCACCTGTGAACAGGTATTCCAGCCCAGGATGATTGGACTACATTCCACAGTTCTTCTCTATTTCTTGGTTTTGCCTCAGAAACTGCATTTTTGATGTCACCCCACAAGTTTTCTATTGGATTAAGATCCGGGGATTGGGCTGGCCACTCCATAACGTCAATCTTGTTGGTCTGGAACCAAGATGTTGCACGTTTACTGGTGTGTTTGGGGTCGTTGTCTTGTTGGAACACCCATTTCAAGGGCATTTCCTCTTCAGCATAAGGCAGCATGACCTCTTCAAGTATTCTGATGTATTCAAACTGATCCATGATCCCTGGTATGCGATAAATAGGCCCAACACCGTAGTATGAGAAAACATTCCCATATCATGATGCTTGCACAACCATGCTTCACTGTCTTCACTGTGTACTGTGGCTTGAATTCAGTGTTTGGGGGTCGTCTGACAAACTGTCTCCGGCCACTAGACCCAAAAAGAACAATCTTACTTTCATCAGTCCACAAAATGTTGCGCCATTTCTCTTCAGGCCAGTCAATGTGCTCTTTGGCAAATTGTAACCTCTTCAGCACATGTCTTTTTTTCAACAGTGGGACTTTGCGGGGGCTTCTTGCAGATAGCTTGGCTTCACATAGGCGTCTTCTAATTGTAACAGTACTCACAGGTAACTTTAGACCTTCTTTGATCTTCCTGGAGCTGATTGTAGGCTGAGTCCTTGCCATTTTGGCTATTCTTCTATCCATTCGAATGGTAGTTTTTCGCTTTCTTCTACGTCTTTCAGGTTTTGGTTGCCATTTTAAAGCCTTTGCGATCATTTTAGCTGACCAGCCTATTATTTTCTGCACTTCTTTTATATGTTTTCCCCTCTCCAATCAACTTTTTAATTAAGGTACGCGGTTTGTTCTGAACAATGTCTGGAACGACCCACTTTCCTCAGAATTTCAGAGAGAAATGCACTGTAACCAGCATGTACAACATTTGCTGCCTTCCTTTCTTAAATAAGGGCAATAATTGCCACCTGTTTTTCAAAGAATGAATGACCTCACTAATAGAACTCCACACTGCTCTTATTTTGAACATGCCCCTTTCAATTAGTGATTCAATTACACAGAATCAGCAGCATGCATGTCATGACTGTTGGGTCTGTTGGATTTCTATTACTCTACTACACCTGCTAGTAAATTATTTGCCACGTAGAAATATCATTTCTACCAAAAACAGTGATTGATCAGGTTAGTGATGTCTGACTGCTATTATTTTGAACACAACTGTACCTAAAGGACTTTACTTAGCCTCTGCTTGTCTCTCAGAAGCCTCAAAATTGGTGTGCCCTTGGCAATAGTGCCTGCACATATGTGGAGGTCGTTGTGGTTACATAATTGAGACATAGCTGGTGTCTTTAAACAACAGGTTACTGATTGTACCTTTTAGATCTCTCTTTGATGCTCTTAATTGGCATACCCGATTTTCTCCTGATTCACATTCTGGTTGCCTACTTCATTGTAGGAGATCTAAATAAATACACTATATTGCCAAAAGTATAGGGACACCCCTCCAAATCATTGGATTCAGGTGTTCCAATTACCTCCATGGCCACAGACATATAAAATCAAGCACCTAGGCATGCAGACTGCTTCTACAAATATTTGTGAAAGAATGGGTCGCTCTCAGGAGTTTAGTGTATTCAAGTGTGGTACCGTGATAGGTTGCCATCTGTGCAATAAGTCCATCTGTGAAATTTCCTTGCTAGTAATTATTCCACGGTCAATTGTTAGCTGCCTTTCAGCTACAGGAGTGCCTGTTTGTGGCACTGGAGTGTAGATCCATAGAGTTCTATGGGGTTTATAACATGCTGGCCCTATTTCTGCTTATGTGAGTGTAACCAGTTTTCAATAAAAAGTACGTGGTACCTCACTATTGTTAGCCTCTATATCAATGCCTATGGGATTTCCATCCAGAATGATGTATATGTCTGTGATTGGGATTCATATATGAAGATGGTAGTTTGGAGTGGATTATACAAAAGTGTTTCAGGCCTTCCAGTAATCTTTGGAGTTGATTGTGTCAGTGAGCTGCTGTCCTATGAAATTAGTCACTAGGTGTTTTCAAATTCCACTTTATCAGCACAACAGTGGTAGGATTTATGGACTATATTTTTGATGGATGTTTTCTATAAATCCTAGAACGACGATATTCATGTTTATATTTGCATAGGTTTAAGCAGGTGCCCCTTAGATACTGATTTGGCATTGTAGGAAATCTGTTAATCTTGTGGAAGGATTCCAGCCTAGTTCTGGTACAGCTATGCTACTTTGTAAATGAGCAAAACTTTCCACAGATTTTCAAATTGAAAACCTTCTGTTTTAGGGCTGGGTAAACAGTATAGAAACGCAGTCCAGATGCTTTTTTGCTTGTGGGTGTTTGACACTTTCTGGTGCATTTTTGATGCATTCCAGTTCATTTTTTTCCTGTTTTTCTTCAATTTAAATAGGAACGTGTACGATCCAGTACAGTACGTTCTACTTTTTTTTTTTTTCTGTAACTGGAACGCACTGGAATTGCAAGCACTGATGTGAACTATGACATTGACAACCATACGGCCTACTTTCTGTGCATTTTGGATGCAGAAAAAAAAAGTACACTGAAACGCATGTAGTGTGAAATGGCCCTAAAACCATATCCCCACGTTCACTCTTGGAGTTATCCAAGAGTTTCTGATCTTAGTATCACTGCACTCTACTGTGGCTTCAACCCCTTAGACCTGACTCTCTCAGGGGTGTATTTTTCAACCTATATGGATGATGCCCATCTCCTTGAGTTTCCAAACATTGGAGTCTCCTTTTTATAGCACTGATTTTAGGTCTGCTTTAGTGCATTCTGCTTGCCTTTGTGAAATGCTTTCCAGGTTCACTGAAATGTTTTCAGTATCTTATTTCTGAGAGTTTTCTTTTCTATTCTATGTATCATCTCCTCTATGGAATATGAAACTAACCCTTGTACAGCCTATGGGACTGTGGCATTTACAGTAACTTTGTTCATACACTTCCCCTGTAGCCCGTCTTATCCTGAGTTACCCACTTCTCCTTTTTTTTTTTTTTTTTTTTTTTTTTATTGTCAGCGTCAACCTCCTGATGGCAGCGCCCTAACCAGTCTTTGAATTACTTCATTGCTGTGTCCAATAGACTTCACGAAAAAGATTTTATGGTAAGACAAAAAAAAAACACTTATTTTTCTTACCAGGCTTTAAAGTGGATTTGTTTTTTAATTAAAAAAAAAAAAAAAACTAAAAAAAACTAAACAACATCGCGACCTGGCCAAATTATATGGCCACAGCTCGTCAATCAAGAAGAAAGACATTATTCTCTTAACTTTCACGGAGATTTTTTTTTTTTTTTTTTTTGCGGTTTACTATTGCTTTAAAGTTAAAAAAGAGAGCCTTTAATAACAAACATGTCATAGTTACCTGTTCCGTGCAATGATTTTGTACAGTGCAATCCCGATTCTCCTCTTCTCAGGCCCCCTGCTGTGCTTCTGGACCCCCCCCCCCCAGTTGAGTGCTCTCATAGTAAGGTACATGCTCACTCCCAAGCCCAGCTCTGTGTATCTACTGACACAGAGTGGGGCTCAGGTCTGCCTCCCTCCTCACTGACTATGATTGACAGCAGAGTGAGCCAATGAGGAGGGAGAGAGCCGCTGCTCTCGGGCACCTCACTGGATCGAGATCAGGGTCATGTAAGTATTAGAGGGGAGGGGGTTGCAGTTCACCAAAGGTTTTTTTTTTTTCTTTACCTTCATGCATAGAATGCATAAAGGTAAAACAATTTCAGCCTTTACAACCATTTTAAGTTCATGTGAGGTACTGAAAGACTAACAGTTAGGAGTCAGGGGGACAATTTCTTTATATTTCCTTAGTAAAAACACTGAACTGAGAACTACATGACTGACAGTATCATGGTCAAGTAAAATTTAGGGTTTGGTGGTAAAGGCAAGGCCTGGAGAAAGTTTAGTCAGATTGGATCTTTGCAAAAGGTTTTTGGCATGAATTGGTATCATCTTCCCTTCCTGCATTACTTACCTCCTATCTTGTATTTTGTACAATCCTAAATCATCCAGGTAGATTAAACTTCATTCAGATTTTTTTCCGAAAAAACAATGGAAAACAAACAACTGTACTGTATAATAAAAAACAGTAATGCATAAACCAATCTGAAAAATATTTATTAGATAAATAAAATTTAAATTTACAATGGTGAAAATATTTATAAATCACATGTGGTCAGTTTTGATTTCCATCAAACCAAAGCCTGGAAGGATTCCACTGTCCCTATAATAGAAATATAAACAAACACTCATAAAACTATGGCATCACCATCTCTTTAATTCAGTCATGTTTATGCAGAAAACTATATATCCCCCCCCTACCCCTATAGATTATATACAAAATAATGCATCTCTTTTGATTAAACGCAGTGTTCATATAGAACAATGCCCCGGTGGTCAAGTATTTTGCATACACAGTCTTTAACCACTTCACTACTGCTGTATATATTTAAAACATTATTATAACCAAAAGCAAACATTATATTGCAGCATCCCAAATCTTAGAGGTGATGGCTATATTAGTTTTCTTTTTTAGGCTTCCTTTCTTCTATTTTTATCTACTAATCCAACCAGTAAGCCTGCTGGTTTTAAACAGAAAAGCTCTCTTGCAGTTACAGGGATGAGACAGACCACTTAAACACCGGCAAAGGTGCTTAAAATGCAATTTATCTATGGAAAACCTTTATCCCAAAAAAAAAAAAATAGTTTGCTGCAACACAGTATTAACTGGAGTTCAGTTTCAATATGTTGCTGTATCTAAATCTGCTAGTACTTCTAACACTCCCCTCCCCCAGACTGACAATGCTGCTGTTCAAATCTGCCCCCTGTGCTCATTCCTCCAGAGTTGTGTCTGTATAATAAAAGAGGTGTGTTACTAACCAAATAACTAGACAAAGACCGAGGGGAAAAGTTTAAAAAAGAAAACTAAGGCAGCCATTACCTTTTAATGATTGGTAAGCTGCAATATATAATAATTCTGGGTTTAGGTTTAATACGCTTTAAACTCGGTGGAATTGTGGATTTATTTCTGCAATGGAACCACCAGGTGACTCAGCCCAACAAAAGAGGGGATAAGTATACAATATGGAACTTTGTTTTCTTTCTATGTGGTAGTTTTTTCCTTGTATAATAAAGAGATGATACCCATTGCAATGATATTTTTAAGAATGATATAAACCCACCCCCGGATGATTTGGCAGATGTTATTTTTGCAATGCCATTTATAAGACAGCATTCCAAAAAAAAAAAAAAAAAAAAAAAATACCCTTGGTTGGCCAGTGTGCCCATGAATGACTGTGACCTGAGCAAATAATTAGACAGCTCCGATCAGAGACAATGTACAGTTGTGTTCAAAATAATAGCAGTGTGTTGAAAAAAGTGAATAAAGCTCAAAATCCTTCTAATAGCTTTTATTTCCATACACACAAATGCATTGGGAACACTACACATTCTATTCCAAATCAAAACATGAAGAAAAATATATCAAATTTGTGTTGTTCCTCTAAAAAAATTGAAGAAAAGTGAGTATTAGACTGTTCAAAAAAATAGCAGTGTTTGTATTCTTCTTTACAAACTCAAACATTCACTATATAAACTGAAAAATGTTTGAAGATTTTGCTTTCCTTTGAATCACTTAATTAATATTTACTTGTATAAGCACTGTTTCTGAGAACTGCTGTACATCTGTGTTGCATGGAGTCAACCAACTTCTGGCACCTGTGATCAAGTATTCCAGCCCAGGATGATTGGACTACATTCCACAGTTCTTCTCTAGTTCTTGGTTTTGCCTCAGAAACTGCATTTTTGATGTCACCCCACAAGTTTTCTATTGGATTAAGATCCGAGGATTGGGCTGGCCACTCCATAACGTCAATCTTGTTGGTCTGGAACCAAGATGTTGCACAAATTTACTGGTGTGTTTGGGGTCGTTGTCTTGTTGGAACACCCATTTCAAGGGCATTTCCTCTTCAGCAAAAGGCAGCACGACCTCTTCAAGTATTCTGATGTATTCAAATTGATCCATGATCCCTGGTATGCGATAAATAGGCCCAACACCATAGTATGAGAAACATCCCCATATCATGATGCTTGCGCAACCATGCTTCACTATCTTCACAGTGTACTGTGGCTTGAATTCAGTGTTTGGGGGTCGTCTGACAAACTGTCTCCGGCCACTAGACCCAAAAAAAACAATCTTACTTTCATCAGTCCACAAAATGTTGCGCCATTTCTCTTTAGTTCAGTCAATGTGCTCTTTGGCAAATTGTAACCTCTTCAGCACGTCTTTTTTTCAACAGTGGGACTTTGCGGGGGCTTCTTGCAGATAGCTTGGCTTCACATAGGCGTCTTCTAATTGTAACAGTACTCACAGGTAACTTTAGACCACCTTTTTGATCTTCCTGGAGCTGATTGTTGGCTGAGTCCTTGCCACTTTGGCTATTCTTCTATCCATTTGACTGGTAGTTTTTTGCTTTCTTCCACGTCTTTCAGGTTTTGGTTGCCATTTTAAAGCATTTGCGATCATTTTAGCTGAGCAGCCTATCATTTTCTGCACTTCTTTATATGTTTTCCCCTCTCCCATCAACTTTTTAATCAAGGTACGCTGTTGTTCTGAACAATGTCTGGAACGACCCATTTTCCTCAGAATTTCAGAGAGAAATGCACTGTAACCAGCATGTACAACATTTGCTGCCTTCCTTCCTTAAGGGCAATAATTGCCACCTGTTTTTCAAAGAATGAATGACCTCACTAATAGAACTCCACACTGCTATTATTTTGAACATGCCCCTTTCAATTAGTGATTCAATTACACAGAATCAGCAGCATGCATGTCATGACTGTTGGGTCTGTTGGATTTCTATTACTCTACTACACCTGCTAGTCAATTATTTGCCATGTAGAAATATAACTTCTACCAATACCAGTGATTGATCAGGTTAGTGATGTCTGACTGCTATTATTTTGAACACAACTGTACATAGCTTATTGGAGTGGCTCTGTACCTTATGATCACTGTGATAAACAATCACAGGTGTGAACATGTAGTGTTTACATCAGAAACCCCCTCCCCTTTCTGTAACAAATGAGGAAGGATGATATGCTGAGTGGATGAATCATGTAGCAGTTTCCCTGTCCCACAGCCGCAGGTATGCAAGGGGCAGGGACTGCCACATTGATTAGGTGAGCGTGTGCATGCAATGCTCTTGAGCACCGAGGAAAAAACAGGGTCGGCAAAAGGGGAACATCTTCATGATCTACCTGTTGGCAGTTGACAGGTAGCTCCGACGGGTTGCCAACCCCTGCTTTACATAGTAGAAGAAAAAAAAAAAAAAAAAAAAAAGGTGCCTGTTGAATACCACCAAGAAAAATCTCTATCCCTCTAAAATAAATAATACAAAAATGGATTTGGGTACAGTACGACTCAGTAATTGTGTCTCAAACTATTACATCACTGAAACTGGAAAGATAGCCTGGTAGTGAAGGGGTATTACAAGCTAGTACTGAAGTAGTTACGGACTATAATTTAGTTATAGGAAATGCAAGTGTAGACAAACAGTGCTACCTGCTATAAATAGTAGCTAAGAATGTTCAGCCAGTTCTCTCCAGTACAGCGTTAGGCAAGACTATGAATCCTTCTGACCTGTACTGAATTATTGCACACGTTATTTTTTTTTTTTCTCACCTATTGTTACCAGGGAAAAGGATGAGACACAGAGTGTTCACTGGAAGATTCTTATAAATCTGATTAATATTCATATCTGTGTTCTTTATAATTTCTGAAAGATTAGCCTGAAAATAAAAGATGAGGGTTATAATATCTCATAATAATGATGAAAAAAACATTCTTGCCAGTTAAAACTATTGCTTATAACAGTGATCATAACAGTTATAAGCAATAACAGGGTAGTAGTACAATATCACTGCACTGGTGATAGTATGTAAAGAAAAAAAAAAAAAATTCACTGTGCCTCTTACTGAATACCTTGGACGGTCGTCTACTTTCCAAAAAGGGGTAATTTGGGGGGTATTTGTACTGTCCAGGCATTTTAGGGCCTCAAAACAGGAAATAGGCCTTCAGTACATCAAGATTGATAATTTTTCAAATATATGTACCATAGTTTGTATAACTTTCACACAGACTAATTAATATACACTGATTTGGGTTATTTCTGCCAAAGAAATGTAGCAGAGCACATTTTGGCCTAAATGTATGAATAAAGATTGTTTGCAAAACATTTTAACAGAAACTAAGCACGTCATGTTTTATTTTTTCTTCAAAACTTTAAGTATTTTTTCGTTTATATAGCAAAAAAAAAAAACCAACCCAGTGGTGATTAAATACCAACAAAGTTCTATTTGTGTGAAAAACTGCAACTGAATAGTAAAAATGCTCTGGTCTAGGTACACGTCCACATGAGCTATTGCTTATAGGATTACAGGACATTTCTTACCTGAGGGTCGTTTTCAAGCATAGATTCTGTGTGAGAGGGGGTACTAAGCATTGCTTCTTGAAACCAGTGAAGAAAGTGGCTAGAGGTGACTGCCTTCTGACACAGCAATCCACCATGGATACTTATATGAGCAGCAGCCATAGCAGCACTACATGGGCTTTGGAATTCTGCAAGAAGTCAGAAAACACCCTTATAAACTGCAACAGCAACACAGTCTGTTAAATAACAATCCTTAAAGAGGGATTTCAGACAACAGGAAATGCTGCCCAGAAAACAGTGTGCAAAAGTTGAGAGGATTTCCAGGCTCCCCCAAAAAATTAGAGATCTGCAGCTACAAATACTGTAGCTGCTGACTTTTATTATCAGGACCCTTATCTGTCCAGGGGTCCAGCACTCTCGTCACCCAGGCTAGTTCTTCAATAACCTCCGAGTTCCCGGCGTCGGCATTGCAAGTAAGAGAAACTGGAAGTGGAGCCTTGCGGCTTCACAGCCAGTTTCCTACTGTGCCATTGGTCCCATAGTTTTCTGGGACCTTTGAAGTCTCCCAAAAGGCGGCAGAGGAAAGAAGGGGGGGACCGAACTTCTGGCTCAGTTCACCATGGCAAACTGAGCCGGAAGTGGGAGGTACCCCCCCCCCCCCCCCCCCCCGCAAAACAACTAGTTCACACAATTTTCCATTGCATCCAGATTCAGTAAGACTGTCTCTTCAATGATGCTGGATGGAAAAACATATTTGTGCACTGGTCAACATTCCTCTATAAAAACAATGGAGGGTGATGCAGAGACCCAGACTGGCCATACACTAGTATGATTTCAAAATATTACATTTTTTGGTTCATTAGCTTTTCTAATTATTAGTGGGATCAAATTGATATTCTTGTTCAACTGCAGTGACAAGAAAATTTAAAGAAGCAGGATGGAATTTTTTTTCTGGAAAGAACACATTTCTGACAGCGTATGCCGTTTTTGTTTGTGAAAATCTATTCATTCAGTTGGTACAGCCCCAGAGTTAGGGCCTTTCACAAAATGAGTATATGACAATCTTGGACATGTATTGCAGAGAGATAAATGCCTAAGGGGAAAGAGCTGACCTGGGAGAAATAGTCAGTACTTCAATTACCCTTTTTATGAAGTGGACCTTTCAGCTCCTGGTAAATGTCTGGTATGATGACTCCATTAATAACAGCTAAATTCCTCTGTGCCACCTTATTGATCATTGAAAGAATGCTGCCATCCCTTTTTCTAGCTCCATGTTTTCAATTATTTAGATCATAAGCTAAAAAGGGTCAGCTGCTCATACCAAATTAGAACCAGTTACTGGTTCTTTTTTGAGTGGAAGTTGTTCTCTGCCTTCTCCTGAGGTGTTCTGGCAGAAGTGGTTCTACTGGAACATTGTATTTTAATCAAATAAGTACATTTCTGTATTTGCACCTCGTGTACTCAGGTTTTAAGGATGGACTCAACATCGCAGATGTAGCAAGACACTGACATTGCAAGGAGATTTCCTTTTTCTACCCCTCAATTTATTTTCTCTTTCCAACTCACCTGGATTTTGCTATACAAAGGACCCCCTTTTGGTAGAGCGAAAATGCCTATTTTAGGGATGGTTGATTATACCCCGCTTTGCTACCATTTTATATTGTTACCCTGTTGTATCCCCTTTGTGTTTTTATATAAATTACTATGACTTTGCAAGGAAGCTGAACGTGTAGCCTAAATTGCCACCTGACTGCTCAAAATGTTTGACCAAGTTTATCAATGTGTAGTCATCTATATGTTCATTTTTAGCAGATACATACAGACATTAAAGTAATATTGAGAGCATTTTTTAAAAAATAAACGTCATACTAACCTGCTCTGTGCAGTGGATTTGCACAAAGCAGCCCCGATCCTCCACTTCTCAGGTCTCCTGCGAGGCACTTGGCCACTCCCTCCTGATAAGTGCCCCCAGAGCAAGTAGCTTACAATGGGGGAACCCAAGCAATCTCCCTCCTAAGCCACTGCTCTGCATGTCCTATTACACACAGAAATGAGGCTTGGCCCCTCCTCACTGGCTGTGAGGACAATGGCTCCCACTGTTGTCTCAGCCAATTAGGATGGACAGTCCCTGGAGAGCTGAGGCTCTCGTGCACATCGGCCAAGGCAACAAAGGAGTGGCTCAAGAAGAAGCACATTAAGGTCCTGAAGTGGCCTAGCCAGTCTCCAGACCTTAATCCGATTGAAAAATCTGTGGAGGGAGCTGAAAGTTTGAGTTGCCAAACGTCAGCCACCAAACCTTAATGACTTGGAGAGGATCTGCCAAGAGGAGTGGGCCAAAATCCCTCCTGAGATATGTGCAAACCTGGTGGCCAACTACAGGAAACGTCTGACCTCTGTGATTGCCAACAAGGGAATTGCCACCAAGTACTAAGTCATGTTTTGTGAAGGGGATCAAAAACTTCTTTCCCTCATGAACATGCAAATCAGTGCATAATTTGTTAGACATGCATTTCTTTTGAATTTTATGTTGCTATTCTGTCTCTGTGTTACAATACACCTACCATTCGATTTTTAGACTGATCATTTCTTTGTGAGTGGCAAACATTCAAAATCAGCAGGGGATCAAATACTTATTTCCTTCACTGTACATGTAAATTAACTGGTTTACGTGAAAGTTATAGCATTTACAAATGGCGGTATACTGGAATTTTTTGTACTAGTAATGACAGCAATCAGCAACTTCTATAGCGGGACTGCAGCGGGCATTCTGACACTAGGGGAAGCTAACTTGGTGTCTCTGACATCCCCAATGACACCAATACAGTGATCAGTGCTTAAAAAAACCCACTGACACTGTACAATGGCACTGGGCAGGAAGGGGTTAACATGAGGGGTGATCAAAAGGGTTAACTATGTGCTGGGTGTGTTTTTATTATGGGGCCGTGTGTTTGTACTTTACTGTAAGCACACTGCTTTGTATGGCTGTGCACAGACATGCAAAGCAGTGTGCACGAGCTGACAGGGAGGAGAACTGTTTTGTTTACAAACAGTTCTCCCCGTTGGAGATCCTTGGCAAACACCGGGTGCCAGCGAGTAATCAACGGCCAGGACCCGGTGACTGACAGCCATGGCTGCGAATAGCGGCGCGGGTAGGGCGCGCCTGCCCTCTACCGGTAAATGCAGAATCACGTATATTTACATGATTTTGCACACCCGTGTCTCCCTGTAGCAGTATTTTTGCTATAGGGTGGACAGAAAGTGGTTAAAGCAAAGAAACGTGGGCTATACAAAAAATTTATATAGATGCTGTCTTGGCTACTTGGAATGTAAATGTACCCATATCATGTATTGTCATGCTTCATTTCCTTGAAAAATAAAAAGAAAGGACTTCTGCTCGTGCGTGGTTGTGTATTGTTGTGGCATTGAACTCCCGAGTTCAGCATTCACTCCAGCACTGACTGGTCTGAAGAGGCAGCACTGGTCTTTTAACAGACAATAAAACGAGTAAAGGAAATCTACACAGATTTGCAGAATTCCAGCATTTTCATATTTATATAAGATGTCTGCAATAAATTACTTTTAATTAAAATGCATCTGAATCATTCTTTAGGCCACACACATTAAAAAGTGATTATAGCATATAAATATATTATAGCAGGTTGCGTTTCAGCCTAAAATGGAGGCACAGTTTTGGTTTTATCCAGCTGTATTTACTCAGTGCAACTTATAACATACAAGTGAAAGATATAACAACATGTCAAAAAAAATGTTTATAAATTCAAAAACAGATTCACTGAGTTGGAAAAAGGCTCACCCCCTTGTCAGTATTGTGTTGAACCACCTTTAGCTTTAATTCCAGCCTTTAGTCTGTTGGGATATGTCTCTATTAACTTTGCAATGTTTGCCCACTCTACGTTGCAGAATTGCTCAAGTTCAGTTAAATTTGATGGTGACCATTTGTGGACTGCAGTTCTAAAGTTGTTCCACAGATTTTCAATGGCGTTTAAAGTCTGTTGACTAGGCCATGCAAAGACATTCACCTTTTTCTCCTTCAACCACTGTGTGGTCATTTGTGCTGTGTGCTTTGGGTCATTATCATGTTGGAAGGTAAACCTTTTTCCCATTGACAACTTTCTGGCAGAGAGCAGCAGATTTTCCTCAAGAATTTAACAAAATGTTTCCCCATCCATGTATCCTGGCAAGCGCTCCAGCCCCTGCTGCATAGAAACACCCCCATAACAGAATATTACCACCTCCATGCTTTACTGTAGCAATGGTGTTATTTGGATGGTGAGCTGTATTGGACTTCCACCAGACCTATTGTTTTGTGTTGAAGCTAAATAACTAAATTTTAGTCTCATCTGACCATAGCACCTTTTTTCATGTGGCCTCAACACTCACATCAAAATTGTATGTTAGTGCAAATAAAAAAAGTATCACGGACAGTACTCAATTGTTTCTGTCGCATATGCACTAATACGGCTACAATCACCTCAAGCAAAATGACATTGTTAAAACATGCGCACACACTGCCATAAATACCTTCAACTGCTTCAGAGTTGCTTTAGGCCTCTTGGTAGCCACGCTGACCAGTTTCCTCCTGTCTCTTTCATCCAGTTTGGAGCGAGGTCCTGATCCAGGGAGTGTCTGTGTTGTACCAAATACCTTCCACTTATTAAAATAGACTTCACTCTGCTTCTAGGCATTGATAAAGCCATTGAAAATTTTGTATCCATCTCCTGACTTGTGCCTGTCCACAACCTTATCCTGGAGATCTTTTGACAGTGCCTTGCCACCCATAGTTGATTGTTTGCGTCTGTTGCACTACCAGGAACTGAAATGCTCCAGGAAAGCTCTTTTCATGCTGAGTTAATCAAAATGACCACAGTTGAAAGTCAAAAGGCTTTGTGATAGCTACACCTTATTAAGTTAACAAGTCATTTTTAGGAGGGGGTGATCCAACTCCAAATTCTTTTTGAATTTTTTTTTTTTTTTTTTTACATGTTGGTGTTCCTTTACTTAGGTTTTAAAAAGTTGCACTGAGTAAATACAGATGGATAAAACAATAACTGTGTCTGTCTTCATTTCAGGCTGCAAAGCAACAAAATGTGATTATTTTAAAGGGGGCGATTCTTTTCTATACCCACTGTATTACTTGCCACCAGCTTCAACTACTTACTTATAAAACAGTATTTTTCATGTTGTTGGCTTCTTGGATTCTTCGGTGCAAAAAATTGCTTTAATTTCTTTAAAATTACTGAAACTGCTGTTGAAGAAAATTTTCAGTTAAAGGTTTCATAAATCCAGATACATATATAGTATCCCTGTTTTCTGGATCTTCTTCCAACTCCTTTATAATGTCCTCATAATCAAGTGACATCCTGGTTATCAGCCTCTGAACCTGTCAAACAGGAAAAGACATGGTCAAACCGATCCCTGAAATTACATGGAGGTCTAAGATGTATCTACTGCTATATCCATTGATTGGAACCAAAATCTAATGCCAAGTTTATGTCTAGCAATTAAAAAATACTTTATTTCTCGATTTTTGTTGGTGTAAAGGTTTGCCACTTTAGAGAGGAACAAGTCAAATTACTTTTAAATCTTTGTATCTGGCATTGCCTACCTATAAAATATTTTGGGCAGCCAGTACTTGGTTCTGGCAGGTTCACTTTACAAGGGATAAGCTCATTTTTTAAAATCTGATACCCAGTGTAGTAATTGCTTACACTTTGACAATTGCCTAAACTCTATGTTCCCTTCCCAAACACCTTCTCAGATCTCTTCGGTTTTAATGCCTCAGAGTCAAGAATCATCAAGGTTTAAAAAGGTCACAAAGGATTAAAACCAACTGACATCCTTTCAAAATAAATACATTGGGTTTTGTGACTCTAGTCCCATGGGTAAATCTTTTCTACAACAATAAAAATGAATCCAGATTTTTTACTTTCTAGACGATATCAAATAAAATTAGGACTATCATATTTCCTATATAATGTTTAAGTCCACAACACATTCAATGTATGGTATGAGGTGCAAGGGCCTCTATCAATTTCACTTCAAAAAAGCCAAGCCTGGTCATGTCTATGATGTGACAAGGGCATCTCTTACCATGCAGCAGCAATAAAGCTTGCCAGACACAACAGCTATTCCTCAAGACTCTTGACTCCTCATATAGTAGCATAAATGAATGCCACAGAGTTTGAAGCAGACATTGCCATCTTCACTACTGTCAGGAAGCCTTCAGAACCTATTAGGGACTAAACTAAGCAGCACTAGTGGGAAGCAAGAGGGAGCAGACATGGGTTCTTCACACCATCTTACTCAAGTAAATTTGGGCAGTGAGGCATCAGAACCCTATAAATTAGGGATGCACCCATTTTGAAACGTTTTGGCCGAAAACACCCCTATTGGCCGATATGAATATAAGCATCGATAAAAAAAATAGCATTTGAAAAATGTATTAATTTTTTTAAAACTGTCCATTTCGGTTTTGGTTTTCGGCCAAGTGCATCCTGAATTTTCATTTCGGTGCACCACTACTATAAATTCACTTCAACTACCTGTAGAGCACATAGTGTATAATTTCCATAATGACTGAAGCAGAAAAATACAGTGGGCCCTATAAAAATGAACTCTAATGGGAGATAGGGAAGATAAGGAGCAATGCTTTTTTTTTCTTTTTTTATATTGATAAGAAGTTGACAAATTTGGCCCAAGGGTATATGTAGTATCTGATCACAAATCATGTACAGAGAGATAAAAGAGATTTAAATACATAAATGTCAAACATTTTGAAGCAAGAGATATGGGCATTATCATAGCTAAAGAAGGAGATCGCATTTGCCCATTTACGGTAGCGAGTACATGTCTCAAAGCACAAGTTTGTGTTGATAGGTTGAGATTACAGCATACTAGAAGATGGTTGCGAAAGTGAATTTGGCAGTCTTAGTTCCTACAGTCCCATGATTGACGGATAAGCTGTGTACTGACTGTAACAAGGGTGAGTGGATAAGAATCAATGCCTCTGTAAGAGAGAGGGAAGAGAAGGAAGGGACACGGAGGGCAAGGCTGTCAGGAATAACTGACATGGCTCAAACAGCAAGTTACAGAGTTTCGATAACCATGCAGTATGTTGAGAGGGTGTGGAATAATCAAGCTATGGCTGCCAAGTCGAGAGGGACCTATCGTGTGTTTATTTAGAATAGCAGTCAGCTTATTAACCACTTGCGGACCCGTCGCAGTATATTTACTATGGCAGGTCAGCTTGTACAGGCACAATCACGTACCTGAACGTTGCGACTTTCTGCCGGGTCCGCTCGCACATGCAAAGCAGGTAGTAAACACTGGCACAGTGCCTACTAAAACTGTACACACACTAAATATTGTTTAGCACACCTTTACCCCTTGATCACCCTACATATTAACCCCTTCCTAGCCAGTGTCATTGGTACAGTGACAGTGTATATTATTAGCACTGACCACTATATTCGTGTCAGTTAATCATTTCCTCCGGCAGTCCCACTATAAGTCGCTGATTGCAGCCATTACTAGTATAATAAAAAAAAAAAAATTCCAGCATCTATACCATAGTTTGTAGACGCTATAACATTCACACAAACCAATCAATGTACACTTATTGAGATTTTTATTTTCCCAAAGATGTGTAGCAGAATAAATTTCATCCAAAATTTACGAAGAAATTTTATTTTAAATGTCTTTATATGATATGTTTTATATAGCAGAAAGTATTGTTTTTTTTTCTTTTCAAAATGTTGGGTCTTTCGTTTATATCTCAAAAAATTAAAAACCCAGTGGTGATCAAATACCACCAAAAGAAAGCTCTATTTGTGTGAAAAAAATAATATAAAGGTTTTGTTTACGTACAAAATTGCATGACCGTGCAATTAGCAGTTAAAGTAAAGCAGTGCCGAACAGCAAAACAATTAGCCTGGTCATGAAGGGGGTAAAATCTCCTGGAGCTCAAGTGGTTAATAAAGGTAGTCTGTATGCGACACTTAACTTCAAGAGGAGCAAAACGTTTTTCATACTTTAAATGCCCTGCCTCTCATAAATGGGACCTCTATACTGTTTTTCTGTATCTCCAGATGTTAGAGTTTATCAGCACAAAGTCATGCACTATGCTCCCTCTTTCTAATAAAAGGCCATGACACAATGTTAGTCTCTTTCACTACAGCTGCACCCATAATAAAGTCTAAATTATGAGTAATAAAAATGGTGACATCATGTGTTTCTATACTAAAGAATTTAGTTATTGTTTTCAGATATACACTATTTAAAGCACAAGCACATTTTCAGTTTAAAGGCATAGTCCACCTTTCACAAAAAAATAATATGTTTACCCACACTGATTGAAAAGATGTGCATGTATTATTTTTTTGCATTTGAGCTTGCAATGCATTCCAACTGCTCAGGTTCCTGCAGACTACTCCACCATACAAGGTACGTACTAAGGTACGACCCTTCAGTCACAGGGCCATATGTAGTAGCAAAGGAATACAAGTGCAAAGATGTCACTACACTTATGTTCCATTGAGAACTGCCACAGTAGCAGATGCGACTTGTAGTCATTCCATTCATAAATCTCTGCAGGCAGAGCCATGTACCAAAGCACTAAATTGAACTGCTTGCAGACCACCCTATAGCAGTTTTACTGCTACAGGATGGCTCTCCTGTGCAAAATCACGTATGTATACACGTGATATTACACTTCCGCCATAGTGAGCACGTGCCACCAGTGGCTTGCTTCTGCTGTGAACACTCACAGCAGAAGCCGATCTGCGTGTGCAGGAAAAACAGATGTTTGCCAGCACCCATCGTGGGGCAGGGAAAAGAACAGAGCTCTGCCTATGTAAACATATTAATTGCCCTAGATGTTAGCCCCTTCCCAACCAGTGTCACTAGTACAGTGATCAGTGCATATTTTGAGCTCAGTTAGTGTAAAAATGTCCACCGCAATATCACTGTCCCGCTGTAAGTCGCTGATCGCCACCATTACTAGTTTAAAAAAATTAAAACAATTCCAGTAAATGTCCCAGAGTTTGTAGACGCTATAACCTTTGCACACACTAATCAATATACACTTATTGGGATTTTTTTTTTTGCCAAACATATGTAGCAGAATACATACTGGCCTAAATTTAATGATGACATTTTTAAAAAATGTTTAGTGGACATGTTTTATAGTTTATTTTTTTTTTTATGGTGATCAAATACCACCAAAATAAAGGTCTATTTGTGTGGCAAAAAAAAGGACATAAATTTAATACATGTACAACGTTGCATGACGTGCAGTTGTCAGTTAAAGCAATGCAGCGCCATATTGCAAGAAGTGGCCTGGTCAGGAAAGGGTAACAATTAATGCAATAAATAATTTGCGCTAGTAAATGTATATAAATATATAAAAAATATAAAAATCATCAAATCATAAGTCCAAAAAAAATATATATGCCAATACCCAAAAACGGAGCCGTGAGGACGTCGATGACGAAACGCGTAGGGCGGAGCTTGATTGATGTGACGTCATTACGTTTTTGGCTGCCAGCTACTGCGCATGTGCTGAGTAGCTAGGCTCGTTTTATGTGATTGCTGTCATGCTGTTGATGCTGGTGTCGGCTGGGACACCTCTTGAGTGCAATGAGTACCTAATAAAGGAATTGGCTTTTATAATATTGCACCATGAAGTCTTTCTGTTTCTCTCGAGTGTCTGGCATTTCCCCCCATGGATACGATTGAAGGTGGTCTCTTTCTTCTGGAGAAGTGGATTTCCGATTAATTGCAAAGTTTCTTTCATCCTGTTATTTGATCTATGAGGATTGGTGTGTTGCAGAGTTTCGTTTCTGAAAATATATCTATGGATGATCTGCCATCATATTATCAAGGTTTTTTTGGTGAAATTTTTCATATTTAGACATTTTTTTGCACAAAAGTTTTTTGCACTTTAAAAGTTTTTTTGCACTTTTTTTGTGGTATTGGCATATATATTTTTTTTTGACTTACGATTTGATGATTTTTATATTTTTTATATATTTATATACATTTACTAGCGCAAATTATTTATTGCATTAATTGTTACACTTTATATATGGTGATTTTTTTGCAGCTGGTACACTATAAGTAAGTTATATAATTTTGACCATAGGCGCTATTATTAATTTTTTCTTAATGGTCAGGAAAGGGGGCTAAATCTTTTTGGAGGGCTAGTGGTTAAAAAAAATACTATAGGCTTTAATTTTCTCCTAGCATTGAAAACACTTCAGGTGTGCATGGAGAGGACAGAGTTGTATATGTTTGCCAAATCGAGCTCACCGCACATTACAGACTACAGGATTCAGTACAGCACCCTAAATATTTTTTCCAAATTACAGCAATGTGATATACCATGAAATAAAAACATAAATACACACTAATAACACAAATCACCAATAGATCGCATCATAGATTTCATCACAGTTTACTGAAATCTCATGGCAATGGTGAAAATTTCAGAAGGGTGCCTAACCTGTGACGTATGCGCAGTTGTGGAAAGACAACAACCTTACCAGTTGATAGCCAGGGAGCAGAAGGCTGGTGAAGCTGTGTGCTCTAAATATTATCAAATTAAACAAGCAGAACAGGAGAGTGATGATTTAGACCAGCTATAGTACATAGTTACATTGTTTCCCATAATTGAACTCATTCACCTAAAACAGAAATGCTATTTCAGAATGCAGCTAGCCTTTAAATAGTCACTAAACCAAGGATCTTGCATTCACTATGTCTGGTCTTCCATAGAACATGGAAATGCAATTATTGTAGTAAATATAAACTGCTAACTAAAAAAAAAATTCTCATCTGCAATATATATAATTTTTGTGACTTCTATCAGTGTCCGGCTAAACACTGGTCAATCTTGTAGTTTTCATTTTGCTCTGGCTGTCTATGAGGCTGCATGGCCCCTGACCCTCTGTCTGGACAGTGCTGATTGGCCCTCTGCTGATCACATACACTCTCCCAAAAAAAAAAAAAAAAAACTAACAATACACACTAAACTGAGCATGTGCAGCATGGGACAGTAGAAGAAGGGGAGGATCAAAGAAGTCAGGATCAAACAATTTTTTTTACACAATTCTGAGGATTATCCCCTTAGGTTCCACGGTGAGCATAACAAGCATGCTTTACTGCATATACAGACTGACTTTACTGTTGTGGGTTTAGTAACACTTTAATAGAAGCTGGATTACAGCTACAAAGGGGCAACCAAGTAGGCTAACCAAAGGTTATCAAATGTAAGCAACAACTTGTCTTAATAAAAATCTATTTTTTTAAGCTTCCAATCAACATCATCTGTGCCATGTATACCAACAGCAACACCCAGAAATGCAGTGCAGGATGTCTGATCTCATTTCCCTTTTCATCTCCTCAAAAAGCTATGGGAGGGCATAGCCTTTTTTAGAATACATTTTTCTTATGGTTACATGGATAGAAAACTAAACGAGCACAACTGGTCAAAACTGGGGGGGTAGTAAAGTTATCTGGCCATTAGAATGATTAACCTCTACTATAAAAATAATTTATTCCAATGATTTATGGCACTTTTGAAATGCCTCAGTGTTGTCTGTGTCTGTTTCTTGGTCTGCTTACCTTAATGCAGCATCCATTAACATATGTGCCATTCAAATGTTTCACAGCAAGTTGAGCAGCTTCCAAAAGACTGTACTTAATGCAGACATGAGGCTGAGGAAAAAAAGATAGGCTATTAAATTGTTTGAATTAGATTGATTCTGGTCTTTTTATAACCAAACTACTGTATGTAACTGAATGAAAATGCATTCAATCTTGTCCGAAAACTTTTTCCTATCTTGCTTGTATCTTCTTGATACAATGCCAAGCTTTAATTTTGTAAGCAAAACTGCCAAAATACAAACTACAGAAAGCAAAAGCATCTACACTATATTGCCAAAAGTACTGGGACACCCCTCCAAATCATTGGATTCAGGTGTTCCTATCACCTCCATGGCCACAGGTGTATAAAATCAAGCACCTAGGCATGCAGACGGCTTCTACAAACATTTGTGAAAAAATGTGTCGCTCTCAGGAGCTCAGTGAATTCAAGCGTGGCACTGTCTGTGAAATTTCTTTGTTACTAAATATTCCATGGTCAACTGTTAGTGGTATTATAACAAAGTTGAAGTAACTGGGAACAACAGCAACTCAGCCATGAAGTGGTAAGGCCTAGTAAAATGACAGAACGCGGACAGCACATGCTGAAGCGCACAGTGCGCAGCAGTTGCCAACTGTCTGCAAAGTCAATAGCTAAAGACCTCCAAACTTTGTGTGGCCTTCAGATTAGCACAACAGTTTGTAGAGAGCTTCATGGAATGGGTTTCCACGGCTGAGCAGCTCCATCCAAGCCTTACATCACCAAGTGCAATGCAAAGTGTTGGATGCAGTGGTGTAAAGCACACCATCACTGGACTCTAGAGCAGTGGAGACGTGTTCTCTGGACTGACTAATCAGGTTCCTCTGCCTGGCAATCTGATGGATGTGTCTGGGTTTGGCGGTTATTAGGAGAACAGTACTTGTCTGACTGCATTGTGTAAAGTTTGATGGAGGAGTGATTATGGTGTGGGGTTGTTCTTCAGGGGTTGGGCTTGGCCCCTTATTTCCGGTGAAGGGAACTCTTAAGGCATCAGCATACCAAGATATTTTGGACAATTTCATGCTCCCAACTTTGTGGGAACAGTTTGGGAACAGCCCTATCCTGTTCCAACATGACTGCGCACCAGTTCACAAAGCAAGTTCCATAAAGACATGGATGAGCGAGTTTGGGGTGGAGGAACTTGACCGGCCTGCACAGAGTCCTGACCTCAACCCAATAGAACACCTTTGGGATGAATTAGAGAGGAAACTACGAGCCAGGCCTTCTCATCCGACATCAGTGCCTGACTTCACAAAAGGCAGGCAGGGATTCCAATACTTTTGGCAGTACAGTGTATCTTTTAAGTGAAAGTTGCTTTTGGTAATGGCACATAATCATGGCTTTTCTGTTGTTCTGTTAAATAAACATGTACAGTACATGTTAGAGGTAAAGGCATTGCTCTTTAAAGAAGTATCACCTTTTTTTTTTTTTTTTTTAACAATGTTCAGCTTTCGATAGACATAGTACACTTTGTTCAACCCTGTGTTCCATTAGGAACTTTAATATCTTCTTTAAAAGATAATATATAACAGTTTCATATATATTTTCTATGATGGTCAGGGCTAAAATGTATATATTTTAATCTTTTAATTGGGGAAATATTGAATATCATATTTCATTTAATAAACTTTTTTCATGTTTTTACATTTTCCTGTATCTCCTCACCATCTGTCATAAGAAATGACCTTTACAGAAGTTTAATATACATACAATACTAGGCAAAAGTTTTAGGCATTTAGGAAAAATGGTACAAAGCAAGAATTGAATAATTCTTCAATTCTTTTTTCAATTGAATTGAAGAAGAAAATTAATATTTTTTTTTACTAATTAATAAACCTCCTGGAAAGTTGATAAAAGGAATTTACTGTCCCGAATTGAAACAGGGTTTTTATTTTTTTTTTTTATTTTCTATTAGGTACACTTGTTTGAAATTTCTGGAGGTAAATGCGTGACAGTTTGTCTCAAGCATTCTGGTGAAGTTGGCACAATAACATACTTGTTGCCTCAGACAGCCTCAATGATATTAAAGGCTAGGTTTTTTTTGCAGGTAAAAAAATGTGCATTTATTATTCTTTAAAACAAGAGGCTGCAAAGTATTGCCTCTTGGTGAGGTTCTTTCATCATTACACCCTCCACAGCACTTTGGATTCTTTGGAACTTTTTAGCTCCAAAAACTGTAGCTACTGACTTTTAAAATACAGCCACTTACCTGTCCCTTGGGTCCAACGGTGTCCTCACCACTGCTTGTTTCACCGGCTATCTTCTCTCCCTGGCGCCGGCATCTTTAGTGTGAGCACCCGGCTGTGACAGCTTGCGGCTTAACAGCCGGGTGCCCATTGCACATGTGCAAGAAACGCTGCTCTTTGTGAATGGCCCCGTAGTCTTCTGGGACCTGTCATGTGTCCCACGAGACTACAGGGAGGACAGCTTCCGTTCGCCTAGGCGATTGCAGAAGTCAGAGTGTGTACCTATCAAATTCGGGTACCCGCTCCCCAAAGGTACAATCCTTAATGGGGAGCAGGGGACAAAGCATTAAAGCGGAACCTCCCCTGTTGGGTGGAACTCCGCTTTAAGTATCTTACTTTATTTATTTTTTAAATTCTTTATTAATCAGCTTTCAAAGACATTACAGAAAAAACACTGTTCAGAGGGAAAACAATAGTAAAACACATGACCATCAAAGTCCAAAAATGCAAACTTCACAAGACAAAACATACATCCTACGTTAGTGTTTGAAATTTTTTTTTTATGACATACCAATGGAGAAGACATAGATGACTATTTCATACGAATATTTTCTATTGAAATTTTCAAAATGGCCAAGACTTTTACACAGTACTGTGTATGTGGATACAACTGATATCAAACACTGCAAAGCACATAAACTTAAACATAGAAAACACTTTCCTGCCAACAGTACAGAGATATGGGGCCTCATGGAAGTGCATCTGTTTGTGAGGCTGCATACATGCGTACATGCCTTTGTGCTGGGAGCGGGCCACACTTTGCTGAAAGCCAAAACAAGAAACCTTGGGCCCTTACCGAGAGCCCTGGTTCTCATAATAATAATCAGGACCCGGGAGTCCTAGTTACCTGATCCCAGTGATAGCCTCTGATTGGCTATCACAGTGATCAGTCACTGTATAGCCAGCCCATATGTGTTCTCTCTCTTCTGAACAGAGAGAGAGGTACACTGTAAATATATATATATATTTTTTTTTACACGCTTTTGTAGCGCGCTCCCAGCACAAAAATCAAGCTCTCACTGAGAGCCTCGGGTCTCATACTAACTATTGAGACCCACGACTCCTGGTTACCTGATTGCTGCGATAGCCTCTGATTGGCTATCACAGTGATCAGTCACTGTATAGCCTGCCCATGTATTTTCTCTCTCTTCTGAACGGAGAGAAAGATACACTGTTGATCTTTAAGTTATGGTAATAACAAGATATATACAGCTACATTTAAAAAAAATTTTTTTTTTTTTTTACTATTTTGGGCCAGTCTTTTTTTTTGTTAATAAACAAAATCAGGAGATATTCATGACCATTTCCCACCAAAAGAAAGCTCAATTTGTCCTAACAAAACCAAGGTATAATTCACCTGGATACGCTAAGTAGGTGCGAAAATATGTACAGTTGTGCAAAATTTTGTTCAGGCATTAACATTTGTTTTACCCTCATTCACAAAGGGGTTAAAATGAAATGTTCTATTACATTTTTTTCACCATAAGCCTTGTTTTTGTCATTCACAGGTCCTGCATTGACATGCTTCAGTCTTGTTTCAGTGGCATCAGTTTGAGACATTCTTGAGATCATTCAGAATTTACTGTCAAGTGCATCTGGCCCACAGTTAACCTACAGTTGCAAGAAAAAGTATGTGAACCCCTTGGGATTACGTGGAGTTTTGCATGAATTGGGCATAAAATGTGCTCTGAACGTCATCTAAGTCACAACAATAGAAGAACACAGTCTGCTGAACATAATACTACACAAACATTAGATGTGGCCATGGTTTAATTGCACATAACATGTAAACATTCACAGTGCAGGGAGGAAAAAGTATGTGAGGCCCTAGCTTAATGACTTCTCCCAGAGCTAATTGGAGCCAGGAGTTAGCCAACCTTGACTCCAATCAGTGTGATGATATTGGATGTGTTGCTGACAGCTGTCCTGCCCTTAAAAAACACACACCTGTTTTGGGTTTACTGGTTTCAAGAAGCACTGTCTGATGTGAACCATACCTCGCAGAAAAGAGCTCTCAGAAGACCTATGATCAAGAATTGTTGCCTTGCATGAAGCTGGAAAGGGTTACAAAAGTATCTCCAAAAGCTTTGATGTTCATGTGTCCACGGTAAGACAGACTGTCTACAAATGGAGAAAGTTTAGCACTGTTGCTACTCTCCCTAGGCGTGGTCGTCCTGTAAAAATGACTGCAAGAGCACAGCGCAGAATGCTGCATGAGGTAAAGAAGAATCCCAGAGTGTCAGCTAAAGACCTACAGAAATCTCTGGCACATGCTAACATTTTTGTTGACACATCTACAATAAGACATTAAACAAGAATGGAGTAAATGGGAGGACACCACGGAGGAAGCCATTGCTGTCCAAAAAGAATATTGCAGCACGTTTGAAGTTTGCAAAAGAGCACCTGGATGTTCCACAGCACTACTGGCAAAATATACTGTGGACAGATGAAACCAAGATTGAGTTGTTTGGGAAGAACACACAACACTATGTGTGGAGAAAAAAAGGCACAGCACACCAACATCAAAACCTCATCCCCACTGTAAAACATGGCGGAGGGAGCATCATGGTTTGGGGCTGCTTTGCTGCCTCAGGGCCTGGACGGATTGTTGTCATTGATGGGAAAATGAATTCCAGAGTTTATCAAGACATTTTGCAGGAAAACGTACGACCATCTGTCCGCCAACTGAAGCTCCGCAGAGGATGGGTGATGCAACAGGACAATGACCCAAAGCATACAAGTAATTCAACAAAACAATGGCTGCAACAGCACAGAATACGCCTTCTGGAGTGGCCCAGTCAGAGTCCTGACCTCAACCCGATTGAAGTGCTGTGGCATGACCTTAAGAGAGCGATTCACACCAGACATCCCAAGAATATTGCTACACTAAAACAGTTTTGTGAAGAGGAGTGGTCCAAAATTACTCCGGATCGTTGTGCAGGTCTGATCTGCAACTACAGGAAACGTTTGGTTGAGGTTATTGCTGCCAAAGGAGGATCAACCAGTTATTAAGTCCAAAGGTTCACATACTTTTTCCTCCCTGCACTGTGAATGTTTACATGTTATGTGCAATTAAACCATGGCAACATCTAATGTTTGTGTAGTATTATGTTCAGCAGACTGTGTTCTTCTATTGTTGAGACTTAGATGACGTTCAGAGCAAATTTTGTGCCCTATTCATGCAAAACTCCACGTAATCCCAAGGGGTTCACATACTTTTTCTTGCAACTGTATTTATTACATGTATTTGATATGCTGCAAGCAGGTTTGGCATTCTTGTCAACAGGAATGCAAAACCCATTTAGAGCAAAAAAAAAGCCTATTTACAAAGACCAATTTAGTATTATGAATAATACCAAGACCAGAAGCATTTTATGAAACACAAAGTATTCTAGAAAATCCCTTACACATGATCCTCACTAGTTTAATTTGCACTTTCAAGGGGATTTATCTCATACAGCCAGAATCAGCAATTGTAGTATATATGGCACTTATATGTGCAGGTAGATTTTCCCCACCTATAGTCTCCCAAGACCTTCTATAAATTACAGTCTTACCTGATAATTGTCTAATATAATATTTAGTGAATGGATAGGGCCACAACTTTGAAAATGCACCTTCACAGATTTTAGGCACACAGGCTCTTTGAAGGGTCCAGCAAATATTGTAATCATCTCCTCATACTTCCGTATAACCTGGGTGATATGAACACAACACACTATAACAGAACACAGTAATAATTTTTTTTTCTGTAGATTACATATGCATAGGTGCATTGGTAAAGGGAAACTACCGTATATACTCGAGTATAAGCCGACCCGAATATAAGCCGAGGTACCTAATTTTACCACAAAAAACTGGGAAAAACTATTGACTCGAGTATAAGCCGAGGATGGGAACACCAGTGGGAAGAATCGTGCCTCATCATTGGTGTCAGTGGGAGGAATAGTGCCCCATCATTGGTGTCAGTGGGAGGAATAGTGCCCCATCATTGGTATCAGTGGGAGGAATAGTGCCCCATCATTGGTATCAGTGGGAGGAATAGTGCCCCATCATTGGTATCAGTGGGAGGAATAGTGCCCCATCATTGGTGTCAGTGGGAGGAATAGCGCCCCATCATTGGTGTCAGTGGGAGGAATAGTGCCCCATCATTGGTATCAGTGGCAGGAATAGTGCCCCATCATTAGTATCAGTGGGGGGAATAGCACCCCATTATTGGTGTCAGTGGAATAGTGCCCCATCTTTGGTGTCAGTGGGAGGAATAGTGTCCCATCATTGGTGTCAGTGGGGGGGTGGAGGAATAGTGCCCCATCGTTGGTGTCAGTGGGGGGGGGGGGGAAGTGCCCCATCGGTGGTGTCAGTGGGGGGGAAGAATAGTATCCCATGATTGGTGTCAGTGGGGGGTGGAATAGTGCTCCATGATTGGTGTCAGTAGGGGGTGGAATAGTGCCCCATCATTGGTGTCAGTGGGGGGGTGGAGGAATAGTGCCCCATCGTTGGTGTCAGTGGGGGGGGAGGAAAAGTGCCCCATCGTTGGTGTCAGTGGGGGGGAGGAATAGTATCCCATGATTGGTGTCAGTGGGGGGGAATAGTGCTCCATGATTGGTGTCAGTGGGGGGTGGAATAGTGCCCCATCATTGGTGTCAGTGGGGGGGGGGGAGGAATAGTGTCCAATCGTTGGTGTCAGTGGGGGGGAGGAAAAGTGCCCCATCGTTGGTGTCAGTGGGGGGGAGGAATAGTATCCCATGATTGGTGTCAGTGGGGGGTGGAATAGTGCTCCATGATTGGTGTCAGTGGGGGGTGGAATAGTGCCCCATCATTGGTGTCATTGGGGGGGGGGGGAATAGTGTCCAATCGTTGGTGTCAGTGGGGGGGAGGAAAAGTGCCCCATCGTTGGTGTCAGTGGGAGGAATAATGCCCCATCATTGGTATCAGTGACACCAATGATGGGGCACTATTCCTCCCACTGACACTTGCTGACCCCTGTTCCAGTATGGTGCTGCTGCAGCCAGCATATGTGGTTGCAGCAGCACCTAAGCACGGCACACTTACCTGCATCTCCTTCACTCGATTTTCGCGGGGGCCGCTCAGCTCCGCCTCCTCGCCGGTGATTGGCCGCCTGTGTGCCTTTCCTGAGCTACAGTTCTGGCGGCCAATCACCGGTGAGAAGGCGGAGCCGAGCAGCCGCGCGAACATCCAGTGGACGAACCGAATGAAGGAGCAGCCACGCTTCCTGGACCGGATCGTCGTGGAACCGGAGCCAGGTAAGAGACAGCAGCCCCCTGCCCACCCCTGTACTTACCGTAGTTTCCCTTCTGTTGGAAGGGGGGGGGAGCCATCTGCAGACGTTGACTCGAGTATAAGCCGAGGGGGCCGTTTTTCAGCACAAAAAATGTACTGAAAAACTCGGCTTATACTCGAGTATATACGGTATATGGGTTTGGGGTAAATTTTATTCAAAACAGTTACATTTATTACGTTTTAAAGTTTAACCATTTTTAAAGGGCAGTTATACATTTTACATTTTTTATCCATTGCTCTGTCTTTCCAAGGCACTATGTGTCATCTAAAGCGACAGCAAAGCAATAACGTCTGTCTCACTTTGTCTAACTGAAACCTCAAAGCCATCTGATAAGCATTCAGTCACAACCCTACTTCAATAACTAGAGTGTATTAATTTCAACTTGAGCTACTGAGCTTTGTAAAAAACAGGGTTTTTATGGAAAAAAAAATGAGCATAAAGATGGCTGGGTAAAAGACTATATATAATGCAGATGCAATGTTTTGTATATGCATTGATTAGGATCGGATATAAAAGAACAATTGTTTTTGCTTTCTTGAAACTCACTCTTACATCAAACAGAAACAGCATCCAGTCACAGGTCTCTTAGTTACTGTCCGAGAAGTGAATTGTTTAGGTGACCATACCTCCTGGACCCCAATCGATCTATTAAAAGTGATTTATTGATTCTATCTCACAGATATGAGGTGATTAACGCTCTAATACATGCATAAGACTTTTACCAACTGTGGGTTATAATGTTTTAGCACAAAAACAATATTGATATCTACAGTAACCCAAGGTTACAAGGTTGACTGGCAATACAGTGCCTAAATGGAAACTGGTTGCAGCAGACAAGAAATGCATGAAGCTTACTTGAAAAGAATATGATGTCCAGCATTGCTATCAGCTCGGAACTGCAAAAAAAGGGATTCTGGTATACCCTCCTATAGTCCAGAGAGGTGTTATTAGGAGTGGGTAAGAAGAGAACCCTGAAGCTGTATGTTAAGTATGTGAGTTCTAACTCAGAGCCCAACCATTACAAGGACAGCTACTTTTCATGTTTTTAATTACAAAAGATTATAAAATGATAGATGCTAAGGTTTCCTAAAAGGACCTAGTGACACGTACAGCAATGGCACCACTGGACACAATGCATTAACTTACTTTTTCATTAGTGTCCTTACTGTGTCTGCTGAAAATATTTCCAGGGTGATAATTAACAATAGTAAGCGGAGACAGAGGCACTACATCACCAGCTCTATTCAGAATCTAAAAACAAAAATCTGTCATTATAGAGAAACATGTTTCATATAAAATGTGAATTTTCTACTTTAAATGGAAATTCCCCCCTTTCATATTAGCTTAGTTACATTGTGCAATAAAGGTTTACTACCCTTTGAAAATAAGATCTTTGTTCAGTTTTTTACAATGCTAGATGAAACCAGTATGCATCTGAGCTATGAAAAAGCATCCCTTTTTCATCTCCTTGATCATTACAAATGTTTTGAGTTTCATGACTTCCCTGATGACTTACAGGAAAGCTGGGCACTCTTGATAAGATTTACTACTATTCCAAGTGTTTTACCTTTGTTAGCCAGAAAACCCTTCTGTGTTTACCTCTCTGAAATTATTTTTTCAACTAGAGGAATGGTTTCCCAGACTTCAGGTCTAAACTGTGTCAACTACAATCCAATCAAATAGGACTGTTTAGGTAGCCTTAAACCCCAGGTGAAGAAGCCCTTTTTACAGGTTGAAATCAGGTTGCATAACAAAGAATATTGCATTTGTTTTAAATTATGTGACCTCTGTGTATGTAATTAGGTGTACTAAGCTGCCCTTCATTAGCAGCATACTGAAGAATTGGACCACTACTCTCACACAGAGCGCAATGGGTTGGATCTCCAGTGATCCAACAAAACCAATGCACTAATCTCCAATGAACAATGCTGCACAAGAAGAATGAGCGTTGTTGACTGAATTACACTTTCAGGGGTGTATAGAATGGCTGTGCTTTGTATGAGGGCAGTGGTACAGCTCTCCAGCATGCTGCTAACACAAGACAGCTGAAAACACTTAAATCACATATTCATAGTAAAACAAAATGCAATATTCTTTATTTATTATGCATCCTGGCTGAATAACAAGTATAAAAGTATACAACTTATACAAACGTATTCGGGGGCTTCAATTTGGATTCAAGATTACTGTCAATAGAGAAATGAAGGTGGTGATGCTTGATTCAGTAGTCGGAGCCTTGTAAAAAGCACTAACTAAAAATCTTTTTTGATCTTTTTACAAAATTTCATGATCTTGGTAAGTTCTTGTAACTTGGCCTGAAGAAAAAAGTTCAAAGTAAGTGAGACTTAGGGTTGCCTTGGAAAAAAGTTTTGTGATCAGGCTTGGTTCTGTCTGCTGGTATGGGACAGAGGAAAGGATAAAAATACCAGTTGTGATGCTAATAGCATTGATTGGGAATAACGGCACTGCAGCGTCTCCTGTAAAGACAGGAAGATACCACCATGTCTGGTCCGTTATCTGCCAACCATATGTTGAACTGAGCTTTCTATAGTCAGGTCAGGCTGAAATTAGTAGATTCTAATAGAGACAAGTCATCTTTTACACAGTGCTGTTTAAAACGCTGAGCAAACTGTTGGCCCTATATAAATCCTGTATAATCATAATAATAATAATAACTATGCTTTTTCAACAAATTAACATAAGTATAATAAATGTTACTGACTCACCTACAAATTGGGTCCATTCTCATTTCCTTTCTATCCTCATATCTTTTAGTCTCTTTTCCCTGCACCCTTTCCATCTCAACGTTATACCCTTCCACTTCAAGACATAAAAACGTGACTTTTCTCACCCAAAACTAATTGATGCAAACTTAGAATACTTTAGAAATAATTGAGATTTGTATCTCCTGGTCAGAGCCCACCAGCACCTTGAGGTTACAGAAAGCTTTTTTTTTTTTAAAATTTTATGTTCATTATTCATCATTATTGAAGTTTTCACATCTGCTGTCTCAGGTTTTCTCATGGTTGACCAGAAAAGTACTGTAATATAAACCTCCTTTTTTGACTTACCCTCAATAGAAATTTATTGAATAGAAACATTTTAAATAATATTGGAAATCAAATAGGAATGACATTTTCAAGGCACTGTGCCAACCTAGATTATATGTTTTAGAATCAGAAATCTTGCGGTAAACCAGAAATTCCTTTCAACATTTAACACAAATGGTTATCAGTCACATATAATCACCCACCAAGCTTGGATTCATAATATGGGGATTCATGTACACTTAACAAAAGCGGTTTAATTTATTTTGATGCTCAGATATAGAACAATACGCTCACCTCCTCATTTGATGCACACAAAACATTTTCTAATTGTGCTAAACAGGTAGGGCTGTTCACCGCGTCCATTCTGGTTACATAAGTAATCTTTTGTCCAACTTTTTGCAATGAGTCTACCAGACTGAAAATACATGTGAAATATTACTAATAGACTAGTCAAATAATTCAATAATTAAAGCATGTATGGCAAGTAAAATGACATGAGAGATCACCAAGTGGTCCATTCACTAATGGTTATCACATGCACTATTTTTAATCCACTTAAAAATATAGCACGTGATAATAAAAGAGTCCGTTCATCAACGTAAAATATCAAATTTGCTGTGAATTCTGCAAATGTGAAATATATGTAAAATAAATCATTAAAAGAAAGACAAATGTTGCAATTTATCTCATGGTGTAGGAAGTCGATATTTTAGGAATGTACAAAATAATAAGAGTATGTTCACATATGCTGTGTGGCCTGGGCAAGATCAGTGCAGTGAGGATGCACATCACACGGTTACCTTTTTTTTGCAACAAACTTTATTGAGATGTCACACAGAGATCTCATAAAGTTCAACTGCTGGCTGTGTGGTGCAAGGCAGATATGTCAACTCATAGACTATTTATACAAAGACACTAATTGCAATTTAAAAAGCCACAGATGTGAGAAATTAACCTTTAATTGCCATTTTGAGTGTGCCGCCTTGTTTGTCAGTAGCAAGGCCAAACATTTCAGGATATGTACAGGTGAAACGCGAAAAATTAGAATATTGTGCAAACGTTCATTTATTTGAGTAACGCAACTTAAAAGGTGAAACTAATATATGAGATAGACTCATTACATTGAAAACAAGATAGTTCAAGCCATGATTTGTCATAATTGTGATGAATATGGCTTACAGCTCATTAAAACCCCAAATCCACAATCTCAGAAAATTTGAATATTGTGAAAAGGTGCAATATTCTAGGCTAAAAGTGTCCCGCTCTAATCAGCTAATTAAGCCATAACACCTGCAAAGGGTTCCTGAGCCTTTAAATGGTCTCTCAGTCTGGTTCAGTAGGAATCACAATCATGGGAAAGACTGCTGACCTGACAGTTGTGCAGAAAACCTTCACTGACACCCTCCATAAGGAGGGAAAGCCTCAAAAGGTAATTGCAAAAGAAGTTGGATGTTCCCAAAGTGCTGTATCAAAGCACATTAATAGAAAGTTATGTGGAAGGGAAAAGTGTGAAAGAAAAAGGTGCGCAAGCAGCAGGGATGACCGCAGCCTGGAGAGGATTGTCAGGAAAAAAACATTCAAAAGTGTTGGGGACTTTCACAAGGAGTGGACTGAGGCTGGAGTCAGTGCATCAAGAGCCACCACACACAGACGGATCCTGGACATGGGCTTCAAATGTCGTATTCTTCTTGTCAAGCCGCTCCTGAACAACAAACAACGTCAGAAGCGTCTTACCTGGGCTAAAGAAAAACAGACCTGGTCTGTTACTCAGTGGTCCAAAGTCCTCTTTTCTGATGAGAGCAACTTTTGCATCTCATTTGGAAACCAAGGACCCAGAATATGGAGGAAGAATGGAGAGGCACACACTGCAAGATGCTTGAAGTCCAGTATGAAGTTTCCACAGTCTGTGTTGATTTGGGGAGCCATGTCATCTGCTGGTGTTGGTCCACTGTTCTTCATTAAGTCCAGGGTCAATGCAGCCGTCTACCAGAAGACTTTGGAGCACTTCATGCTTCCTTTTGCAGACAAGCTTTATGGGGATGCTGACTTCATTTTCCAGCAGGACTTGGCACCTGCCCACACTGCCCAAAGCACCAAAACCTGGTTCAATGACCGTGGGATTACTGTGCTTGATTGGCCAGCAAACTCGCCTGACCTGAACTCCATAGAGAAACTATGGGGCATTGCCAAGAGAAAGATGAGAGACATGAGACCGAACAATGCAGAAGAGCTGAAGGCTGCTATTGAAGCATCCTGGTCTTCCATAACACCTCAGCAGTGCCACAGGCTGATAGCTTCCATGCCACGCCGCATTGAGGCAGTAATTGCTGCAAAAGGGGCCCAAACCAAGTACTAAGTACATATGCATGCTTATACTTTTCAGAGGTCCGATATTGTTCTATGTACAATCCTTGTTTTATTGATTGCATGTAATATTCTAATTTTCTGAGATTGTGGATTTGGGGATTTCATGAGCTGTAAGCCATAATCATCACAATTATGACAAATCACAGCTTGAACTATCTTGCTTTGCATGTAATGAGTCTATCTCATATATTAGTTTCACCTTTTAAGTTGCATTACTGAAATAAATAAAATTTTGTACGATATTCTAATTTTTCGAGGCATTCCTTAAATAATGTATTTTTTAGTGAATTGGCAACTTTTGAGATAAATACTATGGGGTTGATTTACTAAAGGTAAATAGGCTGTGCACTGCAAGTGTAGTTGCTTTAGATCCGAGGCGAAGCTCTGCTGATTTCTTTCATCCAATCATGTTCAAGCAAAAATGCTGTTTTTTAAATTTTCCTTGCATGTTTCCCTCAGATCTATAGCAACAGCACTTTCAGTGCACTTACCGTTTACTTGCACTGCAAGTATTTGCCTTTTTTAAATCAACCCCCCTGAGTTACTTTAAGGCAAAAATGTCTGTTGTATTTTTAAATTGTCCCCTAAATCCTCACTCTGTGTTACACATAGCACTGTGTCACATTACCAACTCTGAACTCTGCCCACAGATGACATCATAAATCTCATATATGTGAGCTTTGGCCTGTTGCCTTGGTGTGGGCTTCATATGGACTGCAAGCTGTTGGGCACCATATAAAAAGCAACAGGGTGAACACTTTCTGTCAGTTATCTCTGCCCACAGTACACAAAACATCCCAGCCTGGGGGGGGGGGGAGCAGCGTGGGAGCGTATTATGGATACGTGATCACCAGTGTAGGGGGGAGGGTTACATTTCACTGCCATCACCACCAATGCAAGGAACTGGGGGGATAAATTTCACTGCCACTGACCACCAATGCAGGATGGGGTGGGGGGGTTAAATTTCACTGTTAGTGACCACCAATAGAGAGAAGGATGGGAGGGTGGCGTTAACTCTCGCTACAAATGCAGGGGGGTGGAAGTGTTAACTTTCACTGCCACTGACCACCAATACAGGGCGGGGGCTTAAATTTCACTGCCACTAACCACCAATGCGGAGGGGAGAGGGTTAAATTTCACTGCTAGTGACCACCAAAGTGAGGGGTTATTAGTACTACCCCCAATGCTGTGGGCTATTATTTCAGTCACTGACACCAATGTTGGCGATTATTGCAACCACTGACACCAATGCTCGGGGCCATTATTATGATCACTGACACCAATGTTGGGGGTTTTTGCATCCCCTCATATCAGTTCTGGAGATATATTATTGCGTCTACTGACAGCCATGCTGGGGGTTATTATTGTGCCCACGGACACCAATGTTCAGGTGTATTATTGCGCTGACTGACACCCAATGTTGGAGGTTGTTATTGTGTCCACTGAGACCAAATTTTACGGGTTATTGTACTCCAACTTGGTATACACTGCAAAAAAATGCAACAGGATAACATTTTTTTGGAGAAGATGTGCAAACGTGCTGCTATTGTGCAGCACTCTGGAGGTGTCGGGGGCTGCACTTGAGGCCCTCTATAATTTTCCAGTTGGCCACCACTGGTCTAATGAGTTTAACACTCTATTCTTGAGAGATGACATACAATGCTCAGCATAAATGAGTACACCCCAACAGATATGTCAGAAAACCTTTAATTTCCTTTCAGAATCCATATTTTCTGTGGGACACTATACTACAAAATACTCCCACAAATGTAGCCATTGATTGCAAACAAGATTTGTTAATTTGCACACACAAAAAAGTATTTTTCCTAACAAATTCATTCTAGACCATGTTGAAAAAATTAATACACCCAATGAAAGTCTTAGGAGCAACGCTACAATTTAGAAAACTAAATGCTAATTAACAAGAATTTAATTATTCAATAAACAGGTGTCCAGCAGACAGTTGATTATAAAAGTGCGTTACTTAAACAAAACTCCATTTCATGTTGTCAGCAGTGGCACCACATGGAAGAGAAATATCACAAGGCCTGAGAAAGAAAATAATTTATTTACACAAGAACGGTAAAGGCTACAAGAAGATCAGCAAGCTTTACTCAGAATACTGTAGCAAAAGTGATACAAAAATGTAACAAAAATGAAACTGCAACCATCTCACAGAGACATCCAGGCTGTTAACAACTCGACAGGAGCAGCTTCTGATAAGAAGGGTTGAAGAAAATCGCCATGTAAGTTCACTACAGTTAGCTAAAGAAGTAGAAAGCCAAACTGAAGTGATTGTTTCCCGTGATACAGTAAGGTGTACACTGCAGAGGAATGGCATGTCTGAGTATTATCCACAAAAGGAAGCCTCTCCTAAAGAACATACACAAAAAAGGCCACCTAGAATTTGCATGGGCCCATGCTGAAAAAGAAAACGACTACTGGGACTCTGTACTCTGGAGTGATGAGACCAAGATAAATGTTTTTGGGAACTGATGGGTTCAAAACTGTATGACATCGCAAAGATGAGGAGTACAAAGAAAAAGCAATGGTGCTACAGGGAAACATGGTGGTAGCAGTGTCCTTCTGTGGGGCTGCATGAGTGCGCTGGTGTCAGTGAGCTGCATTTCATTGATGGTATCATGAATTCACAGATGTACTGCTCTATATTGAAAGAGAAGATGCTACCATCGCTCCGTGCCCTTGGTCATCGTGCACTTTTCCAACATGACAATGATCTAAAACACACATCTAAGGTCACTGTTGCATTTCTGAAGAACAGGGTGAAAGTGATTCAGTGGCCCAGTATGTCTCCTGATCTGAACCCAATCCAACACCTATGGGGAATTCTGAAGAGACAAGTTGAGCATCACTCTCCACCCAACGTCTAGTCTCTAATAGGGGTCATTCTTGAAGAATGGAAAAATAGAAATGTTGCAATATGTCTCCAACTTGTTCATTCCATGCCTAGAAGACTTGGTGCTGTCCTTACAAATCATGGAGGTCATACAAAGTACTAGATGTAGTAGTTTTTGTTGTGGGGTTTATTCATTTTTGCATCAACTAATTTGAGTAAAAATGAAGATTTTGTAATCTAAGTTCTATTATTAACCTTACTTTCATTTAAAAAGCTAAACAAATGTTTTAAAAACTCAGTTTTGTCAAAATTTTGGAAATTGTTATTGTGTTCATTGAGAGATTGCATAAAATCTTACTTTTCAAAAGGGCTTTCAAAAAATAAATTCATTTATGCTGAGCATTTCAAGGCACCTTGAGCCTCTCACTGTAGCATCTACCTGATACTGGTAAATAAACAGTGAGATACAGGGTGGAACAGGAAGAACAATTCAAGCACACAGAGGAAAGTGCAGATTTTCTCACTAATCTGTCTACATTTTTTTTTTGGTGTTTTTTGTTTCCAAGTTTTAAAGCTTGTTTCACAAGTAAACATTCATTGCATAACAAAGGGTTCCAGAGGAGGCCTGCTTTGTGCCTTATTTTTTCTAATTGAAACCATGGACACAATGGTTTCACAGAGTCACTGTCTCACTAGGTTTGATTTATGAAGAACAAATAGGCTGTTCACTTTGGAAGTGAATTTTCCCCATAGCTTAGTGAATGAGGTGTAATTTAACTTTGCCAAGAATATCTAAACTTATATGCGAGGAAAATTTAAAAAAAAAAATGCATTTTTGGTTGCACATGATTGGATTACAGTAGTCAGCAGAGCTTTGCCTCATTCACTAAGCTCTGGGGAAAATTCCCATGCACAGTACAACTTCCTTAGCAGAGTGAACATACTATTTGCCCTTAGTAAGTCAGTCCTCTAGAATTCTAATAAACCATACAAGAGTACTCTTTCAGCACAGCTAACAGTCGAAATAACTGAATATGTGGAAAGCAGACTAGAACTCCCGATGCTTATAAAAGGAGAATGCATATATAATCTTCAATACTGGACCAGGGGCGGACTGACAACTCATGGGGCCCCCGGGCAATAGGGGATCATGGGGCCCCTGTGTCCTTGCCCAAACTCAAAAAAGCCTATGAAAAAGGTACCAGGGGCATCTCATGGGGCCCCCTACTGACCCCAGGCCCTCGGGCAGTGCCCAAGTTTCCAAATGGTCAGTCCGCCCCTGTACTAGACTAATCATACTAAATATGTATACAGTATATATAACAGCTGAGCTCTGGGCTCTAGTGGGTAATGGGAATTCAGACAGCTTTGTTTCATCCATTTTTATTCATATGCCATGATTTTACCTGATTTTATCTGTGTGCTGTGATTGCAGATGAGGAACAAGCCCATTCTCTTTGATCTCTGAGATTTTCTCACCTTCTTTGTTTAATTCATTATTTGCACGTAAAAATACTGATTCCAGATTAAGATCAGCTACCTAAAAAGAAAAACAAGATGGCATACCTATTAGTACATCAGGCAACCATGAGATTGTACATCAGAATACACGGAAACTTGTGATTTTTAATTTCTATGACGCCCTCCCAGAACTGGACAACCACGCTGTAGCTGTCATTCGGCTATAGTGCGGATGGCAAGCGGATAATAGCAAAAAGTCAAATATATTGTTTTTTTTCCCTCAAAATTGTCAGGTTTTTTGTTTATAGCACAAAAAAATAAAAACCGCACAGGCGATCAAATACCACCAAAAGAAATCTCTATTTGTGGGGAAAAAAAGTACGTAAATTTAATTTGGGTGCAGCTTTGCATGACTGAACAATTGTCAGTTAAAGTAACGCAGCGCCGTAACACAAAAAATGGCCTGATCAGGAAGGGGGGTAAATCCTCTGGAGAGCAAGCGGTTAATGATAACTAAAGTAAAAAAGACAAAAAAAAATGCATGCTAAGGTGCTCACATATCTTCCAATGATTACAAGGTTTCTTCTTTCGAATTCAATTGTCTTGTGACTGCATGCAGTGGTGCTTGGTCCTGAAACTGTACCGCGTGGTGTGCTTGAATGATTGTTTTCCATGTTATGCGCATTGCATATTTACATATTAAAGTAGAACTAAAGGCAAATTACTTTTTTGTAATTTTGGATAGACTGAGGGCTCAGAGACACTTGATTATGAAGAACAAAGCAATGTTCATTAATGCACCTATAGCATTTATGATGTGTTTTTGACGTGTTTTAGAAATGGTGAAAAAGCATAAATCTTGTTAAACACCCACAAAGGTGTTGTTTTTCTAGGGGGAAGTGATGTAGAGGTAATCTGCTTCCAGCTGTGTTTAGGTTTTGGTGAGATAGACATTTTTGTGAATTTTCTGCAAGATGAATCCATATACTTTGATCTCTTTGACACTTGGACTGCAGCTACTGGTTACAGCTACGATCATGGATCCTGGGACTTGTTTTTTAGGTTTGGTGATTCTGCACATTGTGAAAGTAATCCTAACATCTCTAGAGCCACTGGACTGCTTTTATAGGAGGCAGAGGGAGGTCCAGCCCCCTTCCCGCCATGAGATTGGGAAGCCCAGTAAAGATGTGACCATTGGCATCAGCTTCCCTGAATCCAGTGAGGAACTGATGTTGTTCCTCACACTGCGTGACATTGGAAACAAGAAGCATCAAGATTTTGTCACTTCCGGTCCAGTTCTTTGTTTACTAGTCGTTACTGGCTTGTGAAGCAAGCCAGTAAAACTGATCTCAGTTTGATCTGCTGCTTTGGAGGCCAGAAGAGAGATCTGGAGTCTCATAGACCCCAGAAGTCTCCATAAAGAAGACCTATCACAGCCCATGCTATCACAAGGGATGTTGTTCATCCCCTGTGATAGCAATAAAAGTTAGCAAATCAGTCTGTATGTGCAGTAAATCATGCTGGTTATACTCACTGTGGAACCTAAGGGGTTAATCTTCCGCACTGTGTAAAAAGGCTGTATGATCCGGTCTTCTCTGATCCTATTCTACTGTCCCCAATCCATCTGCCGATCATACAGAGCTCTAGGAGTCATTCTGCACATTCTCAGTTTGGTGTGTATTGTTTGCGGGGGGGGGGTTTCCTATGGGAAGGTGCATGTGATTAGCACAGGGCCAGTCAGCGCTGTCCAGACAGAGGGTCAGAGGTTTTGCAGCCTCACAGGACAGTCAGAGCAGAATGAAAACTCCTACTAGTTTTAATCAGTGCTTGGCCAGACACTGATATGTCACAAGACTACTATATACTGCTGATGAGAAAAGGTATTTAGCAGTTTATATTTACTAACATAATTGCACTTCCATGTTCTGTGTACTGTGGGAGACCAGATATAGTGAATGCAGGGTCCTGGGTTTAGTAACACTTTAAGTAGTGAATGTGTATGGAATATTTTTCTATAATAAGGACATTGTTTAGTGTCCCTTTAACCGCCCCCCACCCGCCATATAGTAAAATGACGGACGCAAGGCAGTTCTCTCGTTCTGGCAGGACGTCATATGACGTCCTCCCATTCTAACCACGCATGCGCGGCTCCCGGAGAGCGGGGCGATCGGCGGTGCGCTGTGTCCCTCGGACACAGCAGATCACCGATCCATGGAAAGAGCCGAAGATGTCGGCTCGGTCATGTGATGAGCTGTGTCCAATCACAGCTGATCACATGTAAAAAGGGAAATGCCGGTTATCGGCATTTCTCTCCCCACGGACACTGATGATCAGTGTGCCCTGATGATCTGTGTAGCCCCAGCAGCGCCACCTGTCAGTGTCCATCAGTGCCAGCTCTCAGTGCTCATCCATGCCACCTGCCAGTGCCCATCAGTGCCACATTTCAGTGCCACATATCTGAGCTGCCTTTCAGTGTCACACATCAGTGCCACCTATCAATGCCAGTCAGTGCCACCTATCAGTGCCACCTACCAGTGCCAGTCAGTGCCACCTATCAGTGCCAGACAGTGCCGCCTATCAGTGTGCATCAGTTCCCGTCAGTGCTGCCTATCAGTTCCAGTCAGTGCCTCCTATCAGTGCCAGTCAGTGCCGCCAGTCAGTGCCACCTATCAGTGCCATATATGAGTGCACCTTTCAGTGCCCATCAGTGATGCCTGTCATTGTCCATCAGTGCCACCTACCAGTGCCTCCTCATCAGTGCCTCCTATCAGTGTCCATCAGCGCAGCCCTATCAGTGCCCATCAGTGCAGCCTCATTACCGCACATCAGTGAAGGAGAAAAATCACTTATTTACAAAATTTTATAACAAAAACTTTTTTTTTCAAAATTTTCAGTGGTTTTTGGTTTGTTTAAGAAAAAAGAAATAACCCAGAGGTGATTAAATACCACCAAAATAAAGCTCTGTCACAAAAAAAAATGATAAAAATTTCATATGGGTACAGTGTTGCATGACCGTGCAATTGTCATTCAAAGTGCAACAGCGCTGAAAGCTGGAAATTGGCCTGGGCAGGAAGGGGGTATAAGTGCCCTGTAGGCTAGTGGTTAAGCACCATTAAGACCATTTAGCAGAGTGCCTACTAGGGCTCTGTACTATCAGCAGATGGATTGGGGAGTGTGAAAGAAGAGGAGGAACAGAGAAGACGGGATCAAACAGCCTTTTTACACAATGCAGAGAATTAACCCCTTAGGTTCCAGTGAGTATAACAAGCATGTTTTACTGCAAATACAGACTGATTTTACTGTTGTGGGTTTAAGTAACACTTTAACAGAAGCTGGATTACAACTGCAAAGGGGCAACCAAGAGCCAGTAATCTATTTTTTATGAAATCATTTCTTACAATAAGGCAGGAGAATGCAGTAACATTTTCTGTGAGCTTCTGAACTCTCTCTGCGTTGCTGTTGCAGAGTTTTCATTACAACCTGTTAGTTAAGGCACTGTGGACAGAAGAGGAAAAATCTCTGTATTGGAGCCCCACATAACAATAAAAACCCGACAGGGGTTCTAATCCTTCCCCATTCTTTCCAAAACAAGTTTTGACTGGACATACACTTTTAGAGCAGTATTAAATCCAAAAATTTAATTGATTGCAGCTTACAAATCATTCAATGTGGTGGCTGGATCAGTTTTCTTTTCTTTGACTTTTTCCCGTTTTCACCTGGGGATCTGGCCAGTAACACACCTCCGATATTAGTAAGACACCACTCTGGAATAAGCACAGGAGGCACAGCAACATTGTCAGTTAGGGGGGAGGGTAATGTTAAATGTATTATCAGATTTAAATACACTTACACATTGAAGCCAAACTCCAGCTAATATTTGATAAGCAGTTACAGCAGTTTTTGTTTCCTTTTGGGATAAAGGTTTTACAAATGCAGTCATCACATGTAAGGATTGGTAAGCTGCAATATAATAAATACCTGATTTTGGGTTTAATACCGCTGTAAGCAATGTATTCCAGTATTACACAAGGATCTGAAAAGAGTGAATTAGTGAGAGAATATTGGAATAAGTCAGTGAATAGTGGTTTAGTAGTGTTCGTTGGTGGGGTGTGTGGTATAATTTACTGGTGAATGATCTGTTTTGTCATTGCAGAGGGGTGATGGCAGTGCACGAAGGTCCAGACCTTTGGGCATACTACTGAAAAATAATGGTACATTCTCTAAATGCCATATACCTTCTCTGGACCAAACTCAATAAAATACTGCGCCAATTTCAAAGCTGTAACGGCGTCCTCTGAAGGCATGTGACCAACCAAATCTTCACTCTGAATGTCGATCCTGTGAATACAATGAGATTAAACAGAAGTCCAGTCTGCATTCTTTACACCTAAGACACTTGTAGTGCATATACTTGATATCTACATTCAGTCAAGCTTCATGTCTAGTATCCCTTGTCCAATGTCAATTCTCTTTACCGTGGTCAACGTTAGTCCAATTAAAGTAAACCTGGCACAAGTAAGGGCAATTTCAACTGGGAAAATAAAAAGTCAAAATCACAAGGAGAAGTTACAGGTAAATGTACTAAAGGCAAAAAGCCAGTTAGCTTTGCAAGAGAATTCTCACTTTTAGCTTTAGTTAATGTAGAGAAACTCTGCTGCCTGCCATCATTCAATCCCATGTGCAAGCAGAAATGCTTTTTTTTTTCTTTTTTTTTCATTGCATCGGAGTGGGTATCCTTTAGTTACCAGCTTACTGATTCTTACATATGGTGGCTGCATTAGTTTTCTTTTTTAGGCTTTCTTTCCTTTATCTGTACCTGGTAATCCTGCCAGTAAATCTGTTAATTTTCAACAGAACAAACTGTCTTGCAGATGTAACACTGGAAGCAGAGTTCCACTCAAAAGTGGAAGCTCCGATTATTTGCCTCCTCTGCCATATTTGGCACCTTTTGGGGGGGAGCGGATACCTGTTTTTGACAGATACCCTCTCCAACCTCCAGCTCAATACGCCGTGGCTAAGTGAGCCGGAAATTCGTCCCCCTCCTCTCTCCTGCAGTCTCCTGGAAACTTTCACAGGTCCCAGAAGACTGGCAGACCAATTAGGAGGCACAGCGCAACTCACGCATGTGCAGTGGGCACCAGGCTGTGAAGACACATGCTGTCATAGCCTGGTGCCCAGAGTAGAAATGCTGATGCCGTGGAGGAGAGAAGGGACGGCACAGGTGAGAACATCGCCGGACCCCGAAACAAGTAAGTGTGTGTTCATAAATAATCAGCATCTACAGTTTTTGTAGCTGCTGACTTTTAATACACACAAAAAACGGCCGGAACTCCACTTTACAAGTGTTGAGACAAACCATTTAACACTATCAGGGGTGCTTACAATGATCAGCTTTCATTTGTTCTCCCTGTGCCTGCGTGGGTTGCCTCCGAGTACTCCGGTTTCCTCCCACGCTCCAAAGACATGCTGGTAGGTTAATTGGATCCTGTCTAAATTGTCCCTAGTATGTGTATGTATGAATGTAAGTTAGGGACTTTAGATTCTATGCCCCTTGAGGGTTAGGGACTGATGTGAATGTACAATATATATGTAAAGCACTGCGTAAATTGACGGCACTGTATAAGTATCAGAAATAAATAAATACATTTATTCATATAATACCTTTATCCCCCCCAAAAAAAAAAAAGGTTTGCTGTAACTGATTATAAAGTACTAGCTGGAGTCTGGCTTCAGTTTGTAAGTGTATCTAAATCTGCTTGTATATCTAACACTCCCCTTTCCCCAGACTAAGAATGCTGCTGTCCAAAGGTGCCCCCTGTGCTCCTTTTGTCCAGAGTGGGGACTCTCTAATACAGGAAGTGTGTTACTGGCCAGATCACTAGGTGAAAACAGAGGGGGGAAAAAAAGCCTAAGAAAAGAAAACGAATGCAGCCACCACATCTAATGATTGGTAATCTGCAATATACAACATTTTTGGTTTAATTACGCTATAAGTATTAACAATTATTCACTGACACAAAACATTGTCTTAGTATTGTTGAAATATGTTTCCTTACTTTGGACATGCACATATTTTTACAGCCTATCCCTCTAGCTGCAGCTGCTGTTTTTTAGCTCTTCATAACAGACACCAGGGGGGAGTGATACATCATCTTTTTGCTGATGCCAAAAGTGAAAGAACACCTCCCTGGGCACCCTTTAAGACATATGTTCCAGAGAGGTAGCTGGACACTGCATGGTGTAGACTTTAGCTATGCAGTCTGCCCATCAGTTGCTTGATTACATTCTCAGACCTGCTGCTTGAACAGTAATCAAACAACTGAGCAGCACAACTAAAGTCTGCACCACCCAGGGGTAAGCAGGGAGGAATGCCAAGGAAGTGCTATTTCACTCAAGCTCACCACCCATTATCACTAACACTCTTTGCTCTCTGTGAATGTGTGACTGAAAGGGGAGATGTGAAAGAGCAGAATGAATTGAAAAAACACAGATATTAGGTAAATGGATGCAAATATGAATCTCTAGAATGACTCAAAGGTATTTTTTGGTATTAAAGTAGTTGTAAAGGCTGAAGGTTTTTTTTACCTTTATGCATTCAATGCATGCAGGTAAAAAACCTTCTGTGTGCTGCTTCCCCCATAGCCCAGCCCCCGCCCCCAATAGTCACCTAAGCCGTGCACGGGAGCCTCAGCTGTCCCAGGTCTTCTTCTCTTCATTGGATGAGACACAGCAGCGGGAACCATTGGCTCCTACTGATGGCAATCACAGCCAGTGAGGATAGAATGGGGGGTGGGGCTGAGCCGTGGCTTTGTGTCTTATGGATGCATAGAGCGGGGCTGCTACAAGATGCTTGCTGTTGGGGGCACTGGTCATAGGGGAGGAGCCAGGAGCGCTGGCGGGGTCCTGAGAAGAGGAGGTTTGGGGCTGCTATGTGCAAAACCATTACACAGAGCAGGTAAGTATGACATGTTAGTTATTAACTGCTTCCCCTCCGCCCTATAGCAGACGTATTGCTGAGCAAAAGCAAATATTATATAAAAAAATATATATATATATATATATATATATATATATATATAATTTTGCATTTCTGGGTAGGGGGCGCAGTGCACCACCCTATCCGCACCGCCATTGGCGGCTACAGATGTCCATCTCCAGGTCCCGGACAGAGATTCCTTGCCGGCACCCAGCGATCGCCCAGTAACACTGACAGGGTAGAGACCTGTATGTAAACAATACAGGTCTCTCTCCTGCCAGCAAGAACATGCTTCTGTGTATTGCTCTGCACAGCAGAAAAATACACAGCAGTATGTTTCCCTAGTAAAACACAGAGCACATGATGTAAAACAGCACACAATTAACCCTTTGATTGCCCCAGACGTTAACCCCTTCCTGACCAGTGTCATTAGTACAGTGTCAGTACTTTTATTAGCAGTGATCACTCTTTTAGTGTCACTGGGGATGTCAGCGGCAGTTAGTCAATTCCCCCCTCAGTGTCAGAATGCACGCAACAATCCCGTCATAAGTTTCTGATCACCGCCATTACTAGTATAAAAAAAAAAATTCCAGTATATATACCGCCATTTGTAGACGCTATAACATTCATGTAAACTAATTAATTTACATGTATTGGGATTTTTTTTTTGCAAAGACATGTAGCAGAATACATTTTGGCCTAAATTTATGATGAAATTTGATTTTTTTTTTAATTTTTTTTACTGGATATGTTTTATAGCAAAAAAAGTAAAAAATATTGGGTTTTTTTTTTTTTTAAATTGTCGGTCTTTTTTTGTTTTACAGTGCAAAAAATAAAAACCGCAGAGGTGATCAAATACCACTGAAAGAAAGCTCTATTTGTGGGAAAAAAGGACATCAATTTAATTTATGTACAGCATTGCAGGACCAGGTAATTATATGTAAAGTAACACAGTGCTGTATTGCAAAAAATGGCCTGGTGAGGAGGGGGAGGGGAATCCTCTAGAGAGCAAGTGGTTAAAGGTTACATTTTTTATTTTTTTAATATCATTTTAATTGCTCACAGAATTTTGAAGAAGCAAGATGAAACAAATGGGGATTGAAATTATAAGCAGACATGTAATTTTTTTTTTTTTTTAGTTACGCTTGAACTCATCTTGTGTACTTAATTTCACCCTAAAAACAGCTTAAGTCACAGGGAAAGTTAAGACTTGTATATAACTTCTGATCAAGGTTTACTTTAAGTACAGTGCCTTGAAAAAGTATTCATAGCTTGAAATGTTCCACATTTTTTCATGTTACAACCAAAAATGTAAATGTATTTTGTTGGGATTTTATGTAATAGACCAACACTAAGTGGCACATAATTATGAAGTGGAAGGAAAATGATACATGTTTTTCAAAATTTTTTACAAATAAATATGTGAAAAGTGTGGCGTGCATTTGTATTCAGCCCCCACGAGTCAATACTTTGTAGAACCACCTTTCGCTGCAATTACAGCTGCAAGTCTTTTTCGGTATGTCTCTAGCAGCTTTGGACATCTAAAGAGTGACATGTTTTCCTATTCTTCTGCACAATAGCTCAAGCTATGTCAGATTGGATGGAGAGCATCTGTGAACAGCAATTTTCAAGTCTTGTCACAGATTCTCAATTGGATTTAGGTCTGGACTTTGACTGGGCCATTCTAACACATAGGTATGCTTTGATCTAAATTATTCCATTGTAGCTCTGGATGTATGTTTAGGGTTGTTGTACTGTTGGAAGGTGAACCTCCGCACCAGTCTCAAGTCTTTTGTAGATTCTAGAAGGTTTTCGTCTAAGATTGCCCTGTATTTGGCTCCATCTATCTTCCCGTCAACTGTGACCAGCTTCCCTGTCCTGCTGAAGAAATGCATCCCCACAACATGATGCTGCCACCTCCATGTTTCACAGTAGGGATGGTGTGTTCACGGTGATGTGCAGTGTTAGTTTTTTGCCACACATAGCATTTTGCGCCACACATAGCTTTTGGTCTGATCTGACCAGAGCACCTTCTTCCACATTTGCTGTGTCTCCCACATGACTTCTCTCAAACTGCAAATGGGACTTCTTATGGCTTTCTTTCAACAATGGCTTTCTTCTTGCCACTCTTCCATAAAGGCCAGATTTGTGGAGTGCACAAGTAATAGTTGTCCTGTGGACAGGTTCTCCCACCAGAGCTGTGGATCTCTGCAGCTCCTCAGTTACCATAGGCCTCTTGGCTGCTTCTCTGATTAATGTTCTCCTTGCCCGGCCTGTCAGTTTAGGTGGACGGCCATGTCTTTGTAGGTTTGCAGTTGTGCCATACTTTTTCCATTTTCGAATGATGTATTGAACAGTGCTCCGTGATATGTTCAAAGCTTGGGATAGTTTTTTTTTTTTTTTATAACCTAACCCTACTTTAAACTTCTCTACAACTTTATCCCTGACCTGTCTGGTGTGTTCCTTGGCCTTCATGATGCTGTTTGTTCAGTAATGTTCTCTAATAAATCTTCACAGAACAGCTGTATTTATACTGAAATTAAATTACACACAGGTGGACTCTACTAATTAGGTGACTTCCGAAGTCAATTAGTTCAACTAGATTTTAGTTAGGGGTATCAGAGTAAAGAGGGCTAAATATAAATGCATGCCACACTTTTCAGATATTTATTTGTAAAAAAGTTTGAAAACCATTTATCATTTTCCTTCCACTTCACAATTATGTGCCACTTTGTGTTGGTCTATCACATAAAATCCCAATAAAATACATTTAAGTTTTTGGTGGTAACATGACAAAATGTGGAAAATTTCAAGGGGTATGAATACTTTTTCAAGGCACTGTAAAAGGTGATCTATCCTAAATTCTTAGTGCTATTTCAAGTGAAATAAAGAACAACTTCATGTTACATTCAAAGTTAAATTAGTAAGCACAGGAGATGGAAAATGTCACATTTAGACACAGGTACATACTGTAATACTGCCTGGGCCAAGAACTTTAATCTAAACCTCCTTCCAAATTCTCGAGTAAAAAGTAGTGACGTATCGATGACATTTCGATGTATCATCTATAAAAACACAATGATCATTACAAAGGGTAGATTACACAAGCTCTTCATATGTTAGCTGCTGCAACTACTACTTACTTGCAAAGCTCGGAGGTCACTGTTTAAGGAGTGACCCACCAATACAGCATCTCGGGGTAGGATCTCTTTCAGCTTTTCCTGGACATCCTTTAACTTTGTTTTTACTGGAAGAAGCATTTTTTTGGTAATCCCAGAGAACCTGTGTGACACAAACATCTGGTTTCTTTTACGGCATACAGTCACAAAAGTGTACACCATGGAAATTGTTGCCTTTTGTTCAATGTATTTGAATATGCAAACATTAGATCTTTGTTCAAAAAGACCATATATTTCTGAGGTATAAATAAGACAGGTTCCACCTGCATACTTACAAAAAAGAGGGGTTGTGAAAAAGAGATTCACAGAAAAGTGGTTACATCATGGACAGAATGCGATACTCAGAATAATTCCCAAAAATTATGCTTTATTACACAATAATTCTAGACAATAGGGTAAATACCCTGGTTCACCATCACATCAGTATGAGATAATACACAAAGACCTAAAATCACATAAAAGCAACATCAAGACCGGTTTTAATATTAATGTGCTGCATATGCAATGACAGAAACCTGTCTAGTGCATTTGCAGCACCAACACATTGGTTACACCACCAGCAGGGGGTGTGTCAAACAATTGTACCATCAGGTATAATACTGTGCAGAGCTATGCAATAATGGCTGATAACAGGCATCATGTGTTAATGAGATTACCCATAACCCAATCAAGGCAATGTGGGTGAAAAAATTGGAAATATAAATGGGGGTACGGATGCTCCTAAAATACCAGGATCCTGGTAAATATCCTGGTATTTTAGGAGCATCTGTACCCCATTTACATTTCCAATTTTTTCACCCACATTGCCTTGATTGGATTATGGGTAATCTCATTAACACATGGTGCCTGTTATCAGCCATTATTGCATAGCGCTGCACAGTATTATACCTGATGGTACAATTTTTTGACACACCCCCTGCTGGTGGTGTAACCAATGTGTTGGTGCTGCAAATGCACTAGACAGGTTTCTGTCATTGCATATGCAGCACATTAATATTAAGACCGGTCTTGATGTTGCTTTTATGTGATTTTAGGTCTTTGTGTATTATCTCATACTGAGGTGATGGTGAACCAGGGTATTTACCCTATTGTCTATAATTATTGTGTAATAAAGCATAATTTTTGGGAATTATTCTGAGTATCGCATTCTGTCTATGATGTAACCACTTTTCTGTGAATCTCTTTTTCACAACCCCTCTTTTTTTGTATGCATGTTTTTTGGTTACTGGGCAGAAACCATATATTGGGTGATACAGCATATTTATGAACCTCTACCCTCTCTAATTCCACCTGCATACTCCCTAAGGATTTTCTGCTCATTGAAACCTAATCTAGAACACCTGGTTCTAATTTCGTGGATATGAAGTGGTAGTAAATTATACATATTTTCTACTACCTCACAATTACAGAAACAAATAAAGAGCCATAATGATCAGGTACTGTAAATAGATAGTTTTGCACTATATCAATATGTTTAGAGAGTATTACTGTGATTAAGACACATACACATATCACATACTTATATATTTTTTACTTATATTTATTAATGGTAGCCTTATCACTTTTTGTGATGATCATTTGAATTTTAAATATGTTCATGGAATGAGGTTTATCAATATGGCCAGCCCAGGACAACCCCTCCCACTACCAGCATGCCTCAGGCTTGTAGCAAAGCAGTACTGAAACAATGATCACAAATACACAGGGGAGGGACCTGTTTCCCTCAATTGATTCCAAGAAAAAATAATTTGCTGTAAGAAAAACAAAAATCTTATTTTCTTTCTCATCCACTGAAGGACACAGGAAGCCTTTCACCTTTGGGACACCCAAACACAGTCCAACTAAACACCAAGAGGTCCGAGAAAAACAACAGACAACTGAGGACTGTCTGCTGCTCATGTGACAGAGAAAATGTGAACACAAACTCAGGTACCAACCTTGCTAATCTGGAAAACAGTTGTTTAATTTTAAAAAGCCAGTGGAGCACTCACAGATCCAGTAGAGTGTGCCTTGCCAGGAAAGGGTGAAACCTGATCATTGAGACCAAAAGAATCCACCCAGACCCTCATCACTCTCTGAAACAGAATAGAAAAAGGCAAAACCATTGCAAAGGAGAGAATTCATCCCATGGAGAAACTCCAGGGGTGGAAGCTTTGAGGCTCACACCACATGACATCGGCCTTCAAAGTCCAATGATGAACCTTGAAAGGATTTGAGAGACTATCACGCTTTAGGCATCATAAGAATCACGAACTCAAAGATGCCCCTGCCTCCTGGGCGGTAACAGCCATGCTGTTAAAGTCAGCGATCATAAACAGGATGGCAAATAAGTCCTTGGGGCAGAAGATCCTGATGATCCAGTAAAGCCCACAGAGTGTCCACCAGGGGCCTTACCAGGTTGGTGTACCACATTCACCTGTGCCAGTCCAGAGCCATGAAGATCACTGGAATGCCCTTAGTCTCTATCTTGTGAAATAGACAAGGAAGAGGTCTCAAGCAAGTTGCAACAGCATGGGGGTATGGCAACATAATAAAGGTATAAGGTAAGGCTTTAGGTACTCGAAAGACAGCTGGTTGCAGGTGAGGGTCAGATGGCCAAAAGTCACTCTAGGCAGACAGAAGAAATGGACTGAAGATCAAAGTTCCATGTGGCTCTTTGCGAATAGGGCCAGTAACGGGGAAATGCTGCATGGCAGGAAAGAGTTAGGACAGAGCTTGTGCGCAACACACCATGATGGGGAATAAAATAAACCTAAATCATTCTCTTCAGAGACCAGGCAAACACTGTAGTAAAACCAGAAACTCTGAATCTGGAGAGTGCTCTGCAGATAACTTACCAGAAATTTTTGTAAGCACCTTATGCGGAACCCAGTGCCAAAGGTCAATTCAGAGCTATACCCACAATGTCCAGCCCAGCAGGGTCCAGACATGGTACTCCAAAAAAACAAGGCTGAAAACAGCCATGCAGGATAGCTGCAATCAAAGAAACAAAGCTCCAGTAGTGATGCAGAGATGAGTCTTGATTTAAGAAAAAAAAAAAAATCAAAGAAAAAAATAGGATTCTAGAAAAAAAATAAGTTAGGCTTTTACGCGATAGAGTTATAGTAAAGATGTCTATCCTCCTAGGACACTTGTAGAAAAACTGAAGGCACTCTGGTAGCGGGTGAGCGTATCCTGGGCTTGACTACAGTTTTTCTGTTTGCCAGTGCCCAAATGGTAATATAACCCAAAGACTTCCTGTGTCCTCCATGGACAACAAAGAAAAGTATAGATTTTACATTACTTACTTAAAAAAAAGAGATCATGTATAACATTCACCAAAAGTGATTTAGAAGGAACTGTTTAGAAGGGTGAAAGAGCATCAACATACAACTGCAACATTGTTGGGAACTTCTGCAACAGTGATAGAAAAACGTTCTGAAAAATGTGACTTTCATTGTAAAAAATTCACTATGAGTGGGTTCTACTGTTATATAGGAAAATGGTGGCTAATTTGATGAGTCAAAATTTTGTTTGCTGTATTTTGACCAGTGGTGTATATACAGAGTTCCACTCAAAAATATTCACTCACTTGGGTTTTAATGTTTTAATGAATCCCAGTGCATTTCATTGTTTCTTTTGACACAGTGCAACAGAAACAGATTAACATGACAAAATGAAAACAGATCTCAACAAAGTGATTTAAACTGTTACAATGAGAAAATACAAAATAAGGGACTGCATAAGTATACACCCCCTTAAAGTTGGTATTTCATACTTTTATTTTTTTCAGTATACAGCAATGTTTCCATATATAATTTTAATTACCAGTAATTACTTTAGCTACTTATTGCAATATAGTACAGAGATCATCCGACAGTTAAAAATACCTGGTTAGGTAATGTCTAATGGGATTGTCAGGCACTACTAGTTCATCCAGAACACAGTAACCACTGGAATCCACCAAGGAGACTCTGGTCAGCTCGTTCCCCCGAATAGTCAAACACTGCAAATAAAGTTAGCTATGTGTCAGAATCAGAGAAATAGCCCTTAAAGTGGTTCAAAACCCAAGAACAAAATTGTAATATATAGAAGGTTAGTAGTTCTTGGAAGTGATGGCTGCATGTAGGTTTCCTTTTTATTGCCAATAGTAGAAAAAAAATTCTGTATACCCTGATAGGAATTTGGTGTCCTTGTAAATTACTGTGCACTGAACTGAAATCTCAAACAATGTTATCAGCGTTTCCAGCTATCCCTCTGCAAACGGCAAAACGCATCCTCCCTATAAAACTGGGATGAGAAGAGAGGAAGATGTTTGTAGTCCACACTAGGGACAACAGCCTAGGGTGATCAGCTGCTCCACCAAAGATACAGTGCAGTAAGTGTGGTAACCCAAGGACAGAAAGTGTGTAGGCTACCAGTGTAAACTGGTAGAATTACCAGATCAAAATAAAAAAAGGGAAAAAAGCTTTAAAAGAAAACTAATGCAGCCACCACATCTAAGGACTGGTAAACTGCAATATATTATATTTTTGTTTTGGAGTTTAGATCTGCTTTAACATCATATTCAACGCACACACAAAGTTTAGTGAACCACTGGAATAAAGCTAAGCCAGCCATGCAGGGAGCACAATTTAGCCAGTTCAGAAGTAACACGCTGAATTTCAATCCATGTATGGGCAGGCTGGTTGTACACAAGTTGATCTATCGGTGCACCAGGCTATAGCCGACTATTCTGATCAGTGTATTCTGACAAGGGGGAAGTCTCTCTGCTAGCGGAAAACAAAGGCTCAGTGGGAGGGATTCCCTCATTCACCTCCAGTGTGAGGATAGGGGAATCCAGTTGTATTCTTTTGTTCAATCCCCTAGCTGAAGAAAAGAAAATGACTCATGTGACCAGCCTTAGTAAATAGTTTTATCACCAACTGAGTCATATAAGTCATAGCATTTTCCTGTACTGGTCAGGCATAACTGCTAGTGGCAAAATACAATGCACAGATCCATTGCCGTAACTGATAACCAGTTAAACAGCAGTAGAAGCAACAGCATATATAGTAGAGGTAGCGGTATGAACCAATCAGGGCGCACAGGTCCATATTTACTTGAATATGGCGGTTTTGTCACTTACCATTTCACAGTCCAACCCAAATAAAGGACTACTATCAGTAGGGTCATCCATGCAGTTGGAATGTACATAGTTTTCTGTATCTGGGGAGCCTGTAAAGAATATAGATAGATCATAAAACATTAAAACAAAACAAATGAACGCATAAATCAGTAGTCAATAAGACCAAAACAGGACTAGTGGATTAGTTTAAAGCAGGCACAATTACATACTTATACGTCATTGTGCCTACTCGGGCTAAGTGGAGTGCCCCCCTTCCCTTCCCCGCAACTGCTGAGATTGCAGCTCACATGATCACAATGTAAACAAAGCTGTTATGATTAAATCTCATTCATAACAGCTCTGCTTCCGAAACTAATAAGCTGTCATTGGCCCAGAGCTATCACATGGTACCTGGGCCAATCACAATACCCTGTACCTTGTGATTAGCTGTAGCCAATCACAGCTGTCAAGAATGAAACTTATTCATGATAGTTCAAACCATTACTGGTACAATGATCTTCACTGTATCAGAAATCAAAGTGTAAAAAAATAAAATCCCTGATCACCTCCCAGTGTAGTACAGTGTTATTATGGTGACACTGAACTGCTCTGGTGAATAAATGTAACTTTAAAAAAAGTTGAAAATGTTATATTTATTTCTTTAAAAAATTGGAGTAAAAACTTTTTTTTTTTTTTTTAAACATACTGTTACCAGTCAGTGTCCCTGATCACTGCCACACCAGTCAAATGATGATGCTGTACTGCGCTTGTGACAGTATGTAAACCAAAAATTGTGAACAAAAATGTATTTAATTTCTCGGTTTTCCAAAAAATTGTGACAAAAAAACTTCAACTTCAAAAAACTCGCCATGCCTCTTACTATATACCTCAGACTGTCTACTTTCCAAAAAGGAGTAATTTGGGGGGTATTTGTATTGTCCTGGTTTTTTAAGAGCCTCAAGAAATGAGATCATCTGTACATCAGAAAAGATCAATTTTCATATATACCATAGTTTGTAGATGCTATAACTTTCACACAAACCAATTAATATACACTTACTGGATTTTTTTTTTTTACCAAAGACATGTAGAAGAAAACATTTTAGCCTAAATTTATGAATAAAACTTGATTTTTTTTTTATTGAATATTTTTTTATAAAATTTTCAGTCTTTTTTCATTTATATATTAAAAAGTAAAAAACCCAGTGGTGATCAAATACCACCAAAAGAAAGCTCTATTTCGCATTTTGCACATAAGTGAAAATTACATTTCTGTCCCCCGCCCCCCTGAGAGTGTCCAGGTGTGCCACAAGGCTTTGGATACGCCCTGCAGCGCATATGTGTGGGTTCCCCCGAACATCTGCAAACACATGCAGTTTCCCAAGCATGCACAAAGACGCTACTTGGGTAGTCCCAAATTTTCACTGTGTAGAACATGCGTGGAAAATCACCTGCACGTGCAGAGATATTTCGAAGAGATTGGCCAGGACTCGAAGAATGGGCAGAGCCTTTTGGCACATCTGTGTATGTGCCATAATGGTGGCGCCTATGGGGGTGGGGGGGGCGAGTCACTACAGAGAGGACTGCTCTTTAACCGCTTGCCTGCCGCCCTATAGTAGAAGTACTGCTACAGGGCGGCAGGGCTACGCAAAAATCGGGACACACCCTACCCGCTATTGGCGACTAGGGATGTCAATCGCCAAGTCCCAGCCGGCACTCGGTGATCACCGTGTAAAGCTGAAGGGGGAGAGACCTGTGTGTAAACAACACAGATTTCTCACCTGTCAGCATGGACATGCTGTTTTGCAGAGAGATACAAAACAGCATGCCTCCCTAGTAAAAGAGCACACATAGTAAAACACACACAGCACAGTTAACCCTTTGATCACCCACTGTATTAGTGTCACTGGGGATGCCAGTGGCAGTTAGTCAGTTCCCACCCAGTGTCAGAATGCCTGCCACAGTCCTGCTATAAGTCGCTGATCACTGCCATTACTAGTATAAAAAAAATAAAAATAAAAATTCCAGTATACATACTGCCATTTGTAGACGCTATAACTTTCACGTACACCAATTAATTTACACGTGGGATTTTTTTTTTAGCAGAATACATTTTGGACTAAATTTATGGCGAAATTTGATTTTTTTCCATATTTTATTGGATACGTTTTATAGCAAAAAAAAATTTTTTTTTTAAATTGTCAGTCTTTTTTGTTTATTGCATAAAAAATAAAACCCACACAGGTGATCAAATACAACTAAAAGAAAGTTCTATTTGTGGGGAAAAAAAAAAGTACATAAATTTAATTTGGGTGCAGCATTCCATGATCGCGCAATTGTCAGTTAAAGGAACGCAGCAACGTATCACAAAAAATGGCCTGGTCAGGAAGGGGGCTGAATCCTCTGGAGGGAAAGTGGTTAAGGAGATGTCCACAACAGAAAAAGGCAAACAATTTATGTAAGCATCTACAATTTATTAGGCACACAACCTCAGTCCTGGGACTCCTCACACCATAATTTATGAGATGCCAATTTAAAAATCCTAAAAGAAACAAGGAAATTTAAGTACTGTAAGAAGGTGGGTTCTATGTTCAATCTAGACTCTACTGCTGAAATACATACCGTTTTACCTGTCAAAGAAGTTGTAATTGTGTTCAGCCATTGTTGTGATTTAGGCACCCTTGCAGACACCATAATCACGTTGGTGATTATGCTGCAGTTACGCAATGCAGGTTGGTCACCAACCAAGTGGACAGTAAAGGACAAACAGCACACTGAGCAAGTTATCTATGTATTCTCTCCTGAGATATTTGAATGGTATGATTTAGGGAAGAAATATGTCCAGGTTGGCTCTGAAGGTGACCTTCTCTCTCTCCAGTTTCATCTGATAAGCGACTACAGTTAGAATGGCTACTAAAGTTCTGTTTCCTTAAACCTTCTTCTCTGGAACCTCTACTACTACAGCCTTTGGCTCAACAATGCACTGAAGAAGTCATACCTCCACTCTCCAGATGTTCAATCTAGGCTGTATCAGTGATGGCCTTCCCTCTTTCTTGTCTGGATGATGCTGGGCTACGATTAAGCCCATGGTGGGTGAACAACATTAGAAGGGATGGTCTGTGGGGAGGGGGGAATGTCCATGTTTGCTGGACTGAATCAATAAAGTTTGTTTGGAAGTGATATTGAAGTGTGGCCACTTTGTTTTTTGGAGACTGTGCAAGGAATTACATACAAGAGAAGTTTAAAGCAGGGTTAAATTATAAAAAAAATATCTCAAGCTTTGAACATCTCACGAAGCACTGTTCAATCCATCATCCGAAAATAAAAAGAGTATGAAACAACTGCAAGACATGGCCATCCACCTAAACTGACAGGCCGGGAAAGGAGAGCATTAATCAGGGAAGCAGCCAAGAGGCCCATGGTAACTCTGGAGGAGCTGCAGAGATCCACAGCTCAAGTGGGAGACTCTGTCCACAGGACAACTATTAGTCATGCACTCCACAAATCTGTCCTTTATGGAAGAGTGGCAAGAAGAAAGCCATTGCTGAAACAAAGCCATAAGAATTTACGTTTGCAATTTGCGAGAAGCCATGTGGGGTACACAGCAAACGTGGAAGAAGGTGCCCTGGTCAGATGAGATTAAAATTTACCTTTTGAACTAAAAGCAAAACGCTATGTGTGGCAGAAAACTAACACTGCACATCACACTGAACATATCATCCCCACAGTGAAGCATGGTGGTGGCAGCATCATGTTGTGGGGATGATTTTCTTCAGCAGGGACAGGGAAGCTGGTCAGAGTTGATGGGAAGATGCATGGAGCCAAATACAGGGCAATCTTAGAAGAAAACCTGTTAGAGTCTACAAAAGACTTGAGACTGGGGCAGAGAATCACCTTCCAGCAGGACAACAACCCTAAACATACAGCCAGAGCTACAATGGAATGGTTTAGATCAAAGCATATTCATGTGTTAGAATGGCCCAGTCAAAGTCCAGACCTAAATCCAATTGAGAATTTGTGGCAAGACTTGAAAATCGCTGTTCACAGACGCTCTCCATCCAATCTGACGGAACTTGAGCTATTTTGCAAAGAAGAATGGGCAAAATTTCACTCTCTAGATGTGCAAAGCTGGTAGAGACATACCCAAAAAGACTTGCAGCTGTAATTGCAGTGAATGGTGGTTCTACAAAGTATTGACTCGGGAAACTAAATACAAAAGCACGCCACACTTCTCAGATATTTGTAAAAAAAAATTGAAAACCATTTATAATTTTCCTTCCACTTCACAATTATGTGCCACTTTGTGTTAATCTATCACATAAAATCCCAATAAAATACATTTACAAATTTGGTTGTAACATGACAAAATGTGGAAAATTTCAAGGGGTATACTTTTTCAAGGCACTGTAGATTGTTTTTTATTTCTCTTCATTCACATATTATGTACACTGGGACTGGATTAACTGACATTTAGGGATGAAAACTGACCTACACATGGATAATCATTGTTCCTCATCTCTTCCTCAGTAAGTAGATACCTTGTCAGGCCATGCCTTTCCTTTCCATATTTTCGTAGGATGGGGTTACATGCCAGGTTATATGTGGTTGCTGAAAAACTATTGAGCTTGTTAACGGGATCTAGAAGAAAGAAAATTTTGGTTAATAAAATATGGCCAATGCTATAAATGAGTCATGTCCAGCACTATACATCTCATTAAGTGGAATGCCAGGCAGTGAAGAGAACTCCAGCCAACCGTTGGAGAAGCTTTCCCTTACTTCCTGTCCCAGAGACACAACAGGAAATCTCTCCAATATGAGGGAAATCTCAGTTTGTAAAGTTGTCAGAGGAACAGATGTCCCCCATTGGAATAATTTCCCTCTACACTTGTTCTTTAAACACTTCTGAGGAAAAAGCGATGGTCATGTCATTCCTTCCTATTAGTGATAAGTAAGCAAGCCATAATAAAAAGAAAAAACTGCAGTGTCGGGTGCGTATTCCAGGGAAACAGCTCAGATTTCAGAAGTTGCTACAGTTTATTGTGCTTGTTCCATTCGGGTTTATGATCTTGTCTTAACATCAGGATGTGGGTGAACGGAGGGAAGTCCCAGAAATGAAAAAATAACTTCTCATCAGAGAAAGTTCAGAGTACTTTGGGGATGACTATATTTTGATAAACAAAAAGGAAACTGACACATTTGAACCCCAAGCAGATATAAAAGTGAAAAATTAATGATGCTCTGTAAAAATCATTACATTTATTTTTTTTTTCCAAGCAGTGAAAGAACATGTATTTGATTTGGAATCAGCCTCTGGCAATTTCTTGTACAATAGAGCTCAGACTGGGGGAGGGAGAAGCACAGCTGCAGAGCTAATAAGGAGCAGGATGATAGTGGGAACAAGCAGAGAGAAGAGATTATCATTCTGTTGCTTCTCCTTTAAACTATAACCAAAGGCACTTTTTTTTTTAGTTTTGGACAGAATGGCAACAGATTCGAACACCTGTCAGGTTTTTATTGCTGTCTGTGCCCATTAGGGAGATTTGCCTTCTTTATTTGTCATGCTAACGGTTATCATTGAAAGTAAAAGAAAATTCCAAACTTTGGGTTTGGTACCAGAACAGGAATATAAGGGAAATCTTCCACTGGGGACATTAATTCCTTGTGACCTTGGTGTCAACCAGGGATTCCATCACTTAGGAGAAAATTCATCTTGCATTCTGTTTTGTCTATGGGACAGAAAGTGAAGGGAAATCTCCCCAAGGCTATACATATAGCAAAAACCTGACAGGGGTTAAAGCCATCCCTTAATCTATTCAAAATGAAAAAAATATTTTACCTTCAGTTCTACTTTAACTGTCCAATCAGACGTATTTATTGCGAATACTATATTTGTGTATGCAAAAATATTTCTGATGAGGATCTGCCCCTTGTCGCAAGGCTACTACTGGAGCCAGCTTCTTGGTGAGCCAAAAAATTTAAATTGGAGGACCCACAACAAAGCGCAGAAAAAATTGCTGGTGCACTGGAACGATGGGGGCATGTAGGTACACATCCTTGAAGTCCATATAGGCCAGGAAGTCTCCTTTGAGGGAAACTATTATAGATCTGGTGGATTCCATGCAGAATGTTTGGGCCCAAATGAAGACATTAAAGGCCGGAAAATCCAAAATGCAATGAATGCTCCCTTTTAGTTTGGAAACCATGAACAGGATTTGAGTAGAACCACTGAAACCATTCTGCCACAGGTTCTGAAGACCCATTAGAGATGTTTGGAGGTCTGCTAATCTGCTAGTTGACATATGAAGGTTGAAACAGATAAAGTGAGGTGGGGGATAGGGGAAAACGTGAGCTTGTAGCCCCTGGAAACCACCTCCATAAAAACGGACAACCCCCCCCATCCCTACACACACTTTGAAAAGTAGGGGCACACCTTACACTGAGTAGATTAGTCTGAGGGTTTAGCAGACTTGGAGTTCCAGGATTTGCAGAAGGCCTGGGATCCTGGCTTGCATTTTAACGTAGAGGTCAAGACTGTGGAGTAATGAACCTTTCTGGATTTTCAACCCCAAGGTCAATTCCTGGCTAACCTCACAATATCCTGCCGAGTCTGGGAACAGCACTCCAAAGCTAGGCTGAGGAAAGACTGACTTGGAGAGCAGCAATGTAGAAACCAAATCAAGCAGTGGTGTAGAAAGATTTTGACTAGCGAGAAAATTTGCTAGCAAAAATTTAGAAAGATTTTTCCCAGCAGAGCTACAAAAAAAAATGAATTCCCCTAGGACACTAGCAAAAAGCACGGCATGCTCAGAATAGGAGACGTTATGCTGAGCTGGTCTACGACTTCTTTTTTTGTTTGGCAATGTCCAATTCTCCTAGGCAGCAATATAACTCAACAGACTTCCTGTTACTCTCAAAAGAGGAGAAATAAATATTCTGTTCACAAAAACTATTTTACCTACCCAAGAATTTATATCCATTCACTCCCAAAATGTACATAATTCTGCCACTTTCACTTACAGATCTCCACTTCACCTCCATGAAAGTGAAAGGAGAACCAGCACACAGATTATTTTGTCTCTTCATCACCCTGTTCCCTCTTCCTTTCAACATGCCCCTTGCATTGTAACATAACTGGTTCCTTGTGCTTCTTCTCCCTACCCATCTGTTCAGCTTGGCTGTACAAGGACTGCAAAAGGCTGATACCAAGTAAAAGGCAGGTGCTTATATTGCTTGCATTCCGAAAATGAATCTTTAATTTAAAGATATCTTGATTACAGAGCTGCATTAATCTGAACATTTGATATACACATGGGGTTCAGTTTTAATAAAAACATGTCAATCTCTGAAGAACAGATCAGCAGAAAGATTATTTGTGCATAAAACACCAGTATCTTAATAAAGCCCCCAAGTGTTCCTGAAGCATATGGTCCAATTAGTCTAAGTATACAGAAATTCAGACTGAAAGCTTCTAAAAACAAGTTTTAAAAAGCAGCAGATTTGTGATGGCATTTTTATCCAAGCAATGTGCAATACTATTTCAGATAAAAACTTACTAAAGTGGCCTAGAAGCAAGGAGGTGTGCAGAAGTTTTCTACAGACTATGCTTAACCACGAGTAATGCATGCTTCAGGTCACAGATCTTCTGGATGCTTTGGTGTCAGTACTGTTGTTGGTAGGGTACATACCCCCCACGCAACACACATACAGCATGTTGGACATTACTATTATAAGTGCTTGGTGGCATATATATTCTAAATGAGGCCATAAAATGACTCAATAATTACGATCAATGATCCCAGTTCTAAGTAAACATCACCTGTGATATTTGGGAAGCTTTTAAACTCCAGGAACGCAATAATTGGCCAACAGTATGGACACAGGGTGATATCCTAAAACTACGGAAGTTAGAAAATGATCCTTCAAGTTGCACCAATCCCTTCTCCTATTCTGAAGCTAAGGAAGCAATGAAAGAACCAAGTATAAGCTGATGTTAATGCATAAGTGTCATAATGGATCCTACAACTCATACAACTGGTTCAGGAATGAGTAGATACTGTATCCCTGCACCTGTCATTCTCAATATTAGTCCATCAATAGCCATCCTAAAGTTGATACATGATTATTTTACCATTTAGGTATTATTGAAGTCTCTTGCCTGTGTGTTATATGATGACAAGAGTGTTTATCAATCATTTTTGTTTAATTGTTTTATATTAAGCCATAAGAGTTATTCAGGAAACTGACCCTTAAATGCAGATAATACAGTTGTGCTCAAAAGTTTGCATACCCTGGCAGAAATCGTGAAATTGTGGCATTGATATTGAAAATATGACTGATCATGCTAAAAATCTGCCTTTTATTTAAGGCTAGTGATCATGTGAAGCCATGTATTATTGCATAGTTGTTTGGCTCCTTTTAAATCATAATGATAACAGAAATCACACAAATGGCCCTGATCAAAAGTTTACATAGCCTGGAATGTTTGGCCTTGGTACAGACACACAAGGGGACACACACAGGGTAAAATGGTAATTAAAGGTTAATTTCCCACATCTGTGGCTTTTTAACTTGCAATTTGTGTCTATGTATAAATAGTCAATGAGTTTGTTAGCTCTCATGTGGATGCACCGAGCAGGCTAGATACTGAGCCATGGGGAACAGAAAATAACTGTCAAAAAACCTGTGTAACAGGGTAATAGAACTTTATAAAGATGGAAGGATATAAAAAGTTGACCAAAGCCTTGAATATGCAGTTAGTTCTATTCAATCACTTATTAGTAAGTGGAAAATCCAGTGATCTCTTGATACCAAGGTCAGTTAGACCAAGAAAGCTTGCAGCCACATCTGACAGGAGAATTGTTCGGGATACAAAGAAAAATCCACAGGTAACCTACGGAGTAATACAGGCTGCTCTGTAAAAAGACGGTGTCGCTGTTTCAAGGAGCATAATACAGCTATACTTGAACAAAAATGATCGATTTGCCAAAAAGAAGCCTTTACTGTGCCAATGCTTCGGGCACACTGTAATCTGTAGTGATGAGACCAAAATAGAGCGTGAAGATCACAACCTTAATCGCTATGTTTGGAGGGGGTTAACAAGGCCTATAGTGACAAGAATACCATCCCAGCTGTGAAGCATGGTTGTGGCTCACTGATGTTTTGGGTGTGTGAGCTCTAAAGGTACAGGGAATCTTGTGAAAATTGAAGCAATTGATGGAGTTGCCTTCAAGGTCACCTGACCTTAACCACTTCACAACATTCCGTCATTCGGCTACAGCACAGTTGTCCAGTTTTGGGAGGGCGTCATATGACATCCTCCCAGAACACACCCTCCCGCACCCCCAGCGGTGCACAACCAGCGCTCTATGATCGCTGTGTCCTAATGACACAGCAGATCACTGAGTAAATACAGTTGCCGGTTATTGACAGCACTTTCCTCACACTGTCACAGCGTGAAGAAAGTACTGCCAATAACTGGAAAATGTCACAGAACAGATCGGCACTGATCATCAGTGCCCTGATGATCAGAGCCCAACAGTGTCACTCAGCAGTGCCCCCCCATCAGTGCCCTCCATCAGTTCCGCCCAGCAGTGCCACCCCCATCAGTGCCCAGCAGTGCCACCCAGCACTGCCGCCAGTCAGCACCGCCTATCAGTGCAACATCATCAGTGCCTCCTCAATGCCCACCAGAGCCACCTCATCAGTGCAGCCTATTAGTGCCCATCAGTGCTGCCTCATCCTCGCACATCAGCGAAGGAGAAAAATTACCTGTTTGCAAAATTTTATACTAGAAACAAAGAAAAACTTTTTTTTCAAATGTTTTGCCCTTTTTTTTGTTAATAGTGCAAAAAATAAAACACCCAGTGATTATTAAAAACCACCAAAAGAAAGGTCTGTGTGTGTGAAAACAAATTATAAAAATTTCATATGGGTACAGTGTTGTATGACCGCGCAATTGTTATTCAAAGTGCAACAGAGCTGAAAGCTGAAAATTGTCCTGGGCACGAAGGGGGTAAAAGTGCCTACTAGGCAAGTGATTAATATCATTGAGCTACTCTGGGGAGATCTCAAATGTGGGGTTCATGCAAGATGACCAAAGACTTTGCATGACCTGGAGGCATTTTGCCACAAGGAATGAGCAAATTTTAGCACCTGTAAGCAACTGGGGGAATCAATGGTGGAGAAGGATCTGGTGGTTCTGGTAGATCACAAGCTTAATAATGACATGCAATGCCAAGCTGCAGCTTCTAAAGCGAGCAAAATCCTCTCTTGTATTAAAAGAGGTATAGACTCCAGAGAGAGATATCATATTACCCCTGTACATATCATTAGTAAGACCTCATCTGGAATATGCATTTCAGTTTTGGGCACCAATTCACAAAAAGAACATTGGGGAACTGGAGAAAGTACAGAGAAGGGCAACCAAATTGATAAAGAGGCATGGAGGAGCTCAGCTATGAGGAAAGATTGGAGGAACTGAATTTATTCTCTCTTGAGAAGAGATTAAGGGGGATATGATCAACATGTATAAAGACATCAGTGGTTCAAATAGTGAACTCGGTGTAGAGCTATTCACCCTGAGGTCATCACAGAGGACAAGAGTGCACTCTTTACATCTGGGGGAAAAGAAATGTAATCTTCAAACATGGAAAGGTTTCTTCACAGTAAGAGCTGCAAAAATGTGAAATAGATTCCCTCAAGAGTTGGTTCTGGCCAGCTCAGTGGACTGCTTTAAAAAAGACCTGGATTATTTCCAAGATACAGAGCATATAACTGGATACTAACATTTATAGGTACATTTGATCCAGGGAATATTCGATTGCCACTCGGGGGATCAGGAGGGAATTTTTTCCCCTGCAGGAGCAAATTGGATCATGCTTTGCTGGTTTTTTTTGCCTTCCTATAGATCAAATGTGGGTGTAGAATTATAACTTTTTTTTTTGAACTGTTGAACTGGATGGTCTTTTTTCAGCCAGACTATGTAAGAAATTGGAGCCTCATAATATTACAAAAGACTACATGCAGTCATTGATGCTAAAGGAGCAATACACAGTATTGAAGTGATACTAAACCTAAAAACATTTTTAACTTAATGCATTATTTTGCATTAGGGTAAAAAACGTTTTTGAGTTTCCTGTGCTCTCCATTCCCTGCTTGAAGGGGAAGAGAGAGGAGGAGAGATCAGTGCTGAGCATGTCTGCATCCATTCTCCTCTCGCTTCCTCATAACACAAGGACTTGAACAGCAGCAGGAGCCATTGGTTCTTGTTGCTGTCAATCAAGTGCAGTGAAGAGGAAGGAGAGGAGGGGCCAAGTCCTGTTGTGTTTGTCTATAGAGAGCGGCTCCTCTGTAGACACAAAGGTCGGGAGAGAGCACGAAGCATTTGTCCCCATAGCAAACGGCTTGCTATGGGGAAACACAAAAAAAGAGGAGCCAGGATCGCCGATGAGGGACCCAAGAAGAAGATTGGGGCCACTCTGTGCAATACCACTGCAGAGAGCAGTTGAATATAACATGTTTGTTACTTTAATTAAAAAAAATTCTGCTTTTAGTAACACTTTAGGAACTCAGGGTATGCAGACTTTTGAACAGGGGTCATTTAATATTTGTTTACTTGTTACCATGTTTTGTGTTATGTTTGTACCATTCTGTTGTGACCTACAGCTGAATATGAATCCCATAAGAAATAAAAAAAATGTGTTTTGCCTGCTCACTTATGTTTTCTTTAAAACTGTACATACGGTATATTACCAATTCTCCAAAACGTTTGAACACAACTGTATATGTATACATACTTAGCCCTGTGCATGCAAATCTCCTGGAAGAGGATCATTTTTAAAATGTTTGGAAATATTAGAGCATTTACCATTCAACCTGCCATGGAAATCATTTGAACTGGCCTGCTCTTCTGTCCTGGCTTTGTCGTCATCAAGATCCAGCCCAACAAGCAAAGCAATAAAGTCACTGGGAGGAGGCGGCAAGCTGAACCTCTTTATGGCGATACAAATGGAAAGAAAACAGAAACAATGTATTAAAGTGTAAAATAACTGGATTATTCTTGTTATATTTGTCATTTTATGTGAGAGAGCACTTTATTCTAATCTCATTTTATAATACCATATCTTGTACAATGATGTAGTTTCTCTTTCAGTTTCGCCCAGTGCCAAGAAAATTGTTAGCAGCAAGTGTAAAGAGTACAACAGACTCTTACATAAACATAAAGAAAAAAATGTAATATGCACAGCACTGAATACAATTCAGGTTACAGGTGTTACACTAGTCAGAAACCATACTGCTCCATATATACAGTGAGTGAGCATGGATCACCTCCTTGGTTCATCATAAACTGATGCAGCAAGCAGTCTGGTCGGTAGATGCAGTACGAAACTGTTGGTGAAGACTGAGATCCTCTGCTCCTGGCAAAACTTTTTGCGGCTTAGAAATATGTGTCCTCCTGGACATATCTTCTATACAAAGGAAACTGGTAGGTGGTATAACTCCCACCAAATCAAATATAAGACTAGGTTCACACCTATGCAATTAGTGTGGCTTGCAGTTGCGTGGGCACAGGAGCCCATTCATTTGAATGGGCTGTGCTACCTACAGGAATTGCAGGAAAAAAGTTTCCCACAGCTTTTTTAAAATGGCAGCCACATGGAAATCATATGCTGCTATTGCCCCATGCAATTTCCCGCAGCAGAAAGTGTGCTGCATTTTCATATTCATGGGGGTGAAAGTAAGAATTAAGAGGGAAAGGGGGAGAGGGGGAAAAGGAGAAGGAAAGAGGGGGAGAGAGGAGGAAAGAGGTAGAGCAGAAGAGAGGGGGAAAGGGAAAGGGGGGAGGGGGGAGAGAGGAAAAAGGGGGCAAGGGAGAAAGGGGGGAAAGGAAGAGGGGAAGAGCAGACGAGAGGGGGAGAGAAGGAAAGGCAGAGGGACAGAGGGGGAGATAGGGGGAAAGGGGTAGAGCAGAAAAGAAGGGGAGGGAGAGAAACATTTAATTAGATGGCAGCAGCTCCTAGAGCTCTTTATGGGAGCCAAGATTTAAAGCAGAACTCTATAGAGGTTTAAACACACTGCAACAGACATTGTTTACCGTTCAGCAATTTATTCATGTTTTGCACTAAAAATGTTCAGCCACTGAGAAATTCCCAATCAGAAGAAGCGTGTGTTGCCACTCATTTCAGAAGGACTTCCAGTCTGACCCACCCACGTCTGCTAAGTGTGCAGCAATGTGGATGTATACATAAGGATTAGATTTAGATCATATACATATCCAACTCCACAGGCTATTCACAACTTCCCATTGCACAATGAGAAATGTAGCTTCTACATAGAAATGATGGAGTCACTTGTTTGAAACCTCCCCTGGGTGCCTGGCCATAGCTACTCTTTCTCAATTAAAACTATGACTTTATGTACTTCAAAAAGGTAGTCATCTCATTACAGGGGACGTTTTAAAATAAAAAAAGCATCACGTATGTAAAGTACACATGTGATGGAAGTTATGGTGCAAAATAATTGGTATCCTGGAGTACAGCTTTACTACACCATCTGCAGCAAACTATAAAAATTTTTTACAGAGGGACTTTTTTTCATTGGTAACAGAGTTGCTTTAACCAAGCTGTGCAGCTGCTGTAGTGGTAGTTGAGGGCCTCTCTGTTATACCTGGCAGTGGTACCCAGGTAAAGAAATTGAGTGAAAAGAATTAGAAATCCTTTGGCAAGTTAAACAATGTCTAAATACTGTTTGTAGAGTGTATATGTGCTTGCCTGGAGTTTAGTTTTACCATATTTTGTAGCAGTGTACTTACATGCTGGAACAGTCTCCGGAGACAATGAAAGTGCATATAAAACTGGTAAAAGTGATGTTGACTCAGGTTCTCCAACACAATGACAACAACACCGTGAAGACGCTTTTGATGATGAATACTGCACCAGCTTGAAGAAGGGAAAAGGAAAACTAGTTTAAATATATTTATCTTGACAAATAATGTAATGTAGAAAATAGGATATGTGCATTAATGCACATCCAGTGGATTCCCAAGGTCTTTTGTCCATTGCAGTAAAGTGGTACGTGACTAAACTTTAAGCATCACTTTAGGTTGGTAACAATATTCTTTCACAAAAGAACATACATATTGTACATGCCACATTAATATTTATGCTACCAAAATGAGTGTGTGCTATAAAATGCCTCCAGCATTGCGGTTTGTTCTTGCTGGAGGTTGCCATTAAGTAAAAACCCACAGTAGTCACTTCCTTTTTTCACCTTAGGCCAGCCATACAAGGATCAAAATCCAAATTTTGATCCATGCATGGGCAGGGAAGTTATCTCTTTTGCAATAATGAGTCTGACTATTTGCATTTCTTTATTTTCAGGTCAGTCGAGCTTTGAAAAGTTTGTCTCAACCCTCTGAATGCCACTTTTGCTTCACAGCTTAATCTGTTAAAGGAAGCTGAAAAATAACAGACTTGACAGGTAAACAGATAAAAACTGCGGCATCTGTTTTCTATTTTTATGTTGTTTTCCTATATTTTCACCTGGTGATCTTGCCAGTAAGTCTGTTATTTTTCCACTTCCTTTAACCACTTCAGCTCCAGAGGATTTTATTCCCCCTTCATGACCAAATAATTTTTTTGCTATACAACGTTGTGCTACTTTAACTGGCAATTGCGTGGTCATGCAACACTGTACCCAAACAAAACATATATAATTTTTTTCACACAAATAGAGCTTTCTTTTGTTGGCATTTGATCACCGCTGAGTGTTTTATTTTTTGCGATATGAATGAAAAAAAGACCAAAAATTCAAATTTTAAAAAAAAAAAAAAAGAAACCACACACAATTTTTTACTTTCTGCTACAAAACATGTCCAACAAAAAAAGAAAAAAAAATCAAATTTTGGCCAAAATGTATCCTGCTACATGTTTTTGATATTAAAAAAAAATCCCAATAAGTGTATATTGATTGGTTTGAGTTACCGTTACAGCTCCTACAAACTGTGGTATATTTACTAGATTTTTTTTATTTTTAAATACTAATGGAGACAAATCAGTGACTTATAATAGGACTGTGACAGCGCGAAAAACAATCTAACACTAACTGACACTGGGGAAAACTGACAATGACATCACCAGTGGTATTAATGCAGTGATCAATGATAATACTATACCCTATCACTGCACTAATGACATTGGCTGGGAAGGCAATAACATCTAAGGTGATCAGGGGTTAAATGCATGCCTAACTATGTGTAATGTGTGTAAAGGGTGTTGCATTTACTACTAGATCACTCAGTTTCTCATCCCTGCTCTGCAAGGATGAGAAATTAAGATTGCGCCCTCTGTACAGAGCTCTGTGTTGTTCGGCAACACAGAGCTCTGAGCTGTAATTGCACACAGCCGATCAGCAGGTCCTGGCCATGAATCATTGGTAGAGACTTGCTGACAGGCTCCTGCTTTGTACAATCACAGCAGAAGCCGGGCAAGGGGCGTGCATGTGCAAGCCCTAAATCTGGAAGTAAGCAGCGACATACATTGTTTTGCCTACAGTAGCCACTTGCCAGCAGTGTAGGTGAGCAGCTACCAAGTGGTTAACAGACCAAAAGTGGCAGTTAGAGGGTTGAGACAAAATCATTACATACTGACAATTGTCAGCTTTTATTCATTTTATGTACAACCCTTCCCTAAAGGAAAGAAAAGACAGTAGTGACTGCTGTTAGCAGGAGTTTGGCTTCAATTTGTTAATAAGCCCCATCTAAATCTGCTAGTACATCTAACACTGAATGAGTAAGTGAGTAATAGTGAGCGCACATCAAGTAATATCAGCAGCTAAGCACTAAAGGTAACCAACAAACCTCAGATAACCAGTGAGAAAGAGAAAGTGCAGCGCTAAATCATTAGAATAAAATATGGTACAAATACTGATATGAAAATCAGAAGGTGACTATAAATGTTCAATAATAATTATAGTGATCCGCAATTCTCCTTAGTTCGGTGCTGGTGCAATAAGATGTAGACAAAACTCACAAGACAACACTCACCGGAACGCATATTTAAATGCGCATAAATATAAGTGAACTCCTGATGTCATCAGATGTCATCCAAATGGGGGCAGGAATGGGGAGACCTTTATCCAAGTATATGGGTCCTCGGATTTCTGATGCGGATCAAATGGAAATGCCAGAGTCTCCTTTAAAGGGTGGATGGGTGCAGCTCCAGAGGTATGACAGGAGGCTCCCTCTCTGGAGTCTGGAAGCTGTGTTATCTGTAAGTTAATACTCCCCAAGGGAGTTAAATAGAAGAAACACCATGGTGTAGTATTTAAAGGTTTTAATGGGTAAAAAATCAAGCAGCCAGAGTATAAGATCAAAATCCAGGTAATACGAAACACACTGAATGGATAGCATACAAAACGGGGACTGACCGTCCACAGTCTAAGATGGCCGCCGGAGCTCCACGTTGCTCCGGCGGCGTGAGGTCACGGCGTTATTGACTCCCTCTGACGCGTTTCGTGCACCTGCATGTCTTCTGAGGGGAATGCCAATGTTAGTGTGTTTCGTATTACCTGGATTTTGATCTTATACTCTGGCTGCTTGATTTTTACCCATTAAAACCTTTAAATACTACACCATGGGGTTTCTTCTATTTAACTCCCTTGGGGAGTATTAACTTACAGATAACACAGCTTCCAGACTCCAGAGAGGGAGCCTCCTGTCATACCTGTGGAGCTGCACCCATCCACCCTTTAAAGGGGACTCTGGCATTCCATTTGATCCGCATCAGAAATCCTAGGACCCACATACTTGGATAAAGGTCTCCCTATTCCTGCCCCCATTTGGACGACATCTGATGACATCAGGAGTTCACTTATATTTATGCGCATTTAAATATGCGTTCCGGTGAGTGCGCATTTTGTCTACATCTTATCGCACCAGCACCGAACTAAGGAGAATTGCGGATCACTATAATTATTATTGAACATTTATAGTCACCTTCTGATTTTCATATCAGTATTTGTACCATATTTTATTCTAATGATTTAGCGCTGCACTTTCTCTTTCTCACATCTAACACTGCCCTTTCCACAGACTGACAATGCTGCCATCTAAGGGTCTCGTTCTTCATAGAATGGAGCCACCCTAATACAGGAAGTAAGTTAACAGCCGGAGCAGCAGGTGAAAATAAAGGGGGAAAAAATTAAAAGAAAGAAAACGAATGCAGGCACCACATTTATCGATTGGTAATCTGCAATATATTAGGGTTGTTTTTGGGTTTACATATGCTTTAGAAAAACATAGCCTGAGACAATTACATACTGCTTGTGTGTGCATTATTATGTGTGATCAATCCTCCACATTTCACACTTTAGCATATCTGAAACATATCTGAAAAACGCTCAACAATGGGGCACTGGGGTTATAATATTTAAATAGCAGCTGTCTCTCCACTTTCACTTACTGTGAGCTGTCCTGGCAGAATTGCCCTAATTATAAAATGATAAAAATAATGTTACTGCTACAATGTTTAAGCACAAGCATCAAAATCCATCTTAATGTACCTTGCCTGTGTTGTGTGCTCTTTTCCCAGCACTGCATATTTGATGAGTTGGTGCAAGGATCCATGCTGAATTTCACAGGAATCACTAAACAGTGCAGAGGATAATCTTGGTGCTTTCTGGAAAATAACACAAAATATTAAACCTTTGAGCATTTCAGAAGATTTTGGACGGATCAATCAACATTCCTATATCATCAGTGCCACCAACTAGTAGCGAAATTGTGTTTTTTTTTTGTTTTTTTTTTTTTCCATAAATATCTCATTCCGGGGAAAAAAAATAGTATGACCACTAGGTGGTGCTGACAATATAGAAAATACAGTTAGGTCCATTTATATTTGGACACGGGCACAATTTAAACTTTTTCCAGGTATTTAACAAAACATATTCAAGCTATAGTTATATAATGGATGTGGGCTGAAAGAGCACACTCTCAGGTTTAATTTTGAGGGTATGTACATCCAAATTGGAGGAAGGATTTAGGAATTACAGCTCTTAAGAAATCCCCCTTTTTTTAAGGGACCAAAAGTAATTGGACAATTGAATAAAAAGTGTTTCATGGCCAGGTGTGGGCTACTCTTTTGTTATTTCTTCATCAATTAAGCAGGTAAAAGGTCTGGAGTTGATTCTAAGTGTGGAATATGCATTTGGAATCTATTGCTGTAAACCTACATCATGCATTCAAAGGAGCTGTCCATGCAAGTGAAACAGGCCATTGTAAGGCTTCAAAAACGAAACCAATCCATCAGAGAGATAGCAGCAACATTAGGAGTGGCCAAATCAACAGTTAAGTACATTCTGAGGAAAGAACGCACTGGTGAGCTCAGCAACATAAAAAGGCATGGACGTCTACAGAAGACAACAGTGGTGGATGATCGCAGGATCCTCTCTAAGGTAAAGAAAAACCCATTCACAACATCCAGACAAGTGAAAGACACTCTCCAGGAGGTGGGCATATCATTGTCAAAGTCTACAATCAACAGAAGACTTCACGAGAGCAAATACAGAGGGTTCACTACAAGGTGCAAACCATTCATAAACCTGAATAGAAAAGCCAGATTAGACTTTGCCAAAAAAAAATCTAAAAAAGCCAGACCAGTTCTGGAAAAGCATTCTTTGGACGGATGAAATGAATATTACTCTGTACCAGAATGACAGGAAGAAAAAAAAAAAAAGTGTGGAGAAGGATTAGAACAGCTCATGATCCAAAGCACACAATGTCATCTGTAAAACATGGTGGAGGCAGTGTGATGGCATGGGCATGCATGGCTTCCAGTGGTACTGGGTCATTGGTATTTATTGATGATGTGACAGAAGATAGAAGCAGCCAGATGCATTCTGCAGTGTTTAGAGCTATACTATCAGCCCAGATTGAGCCAAATGCAGCAAAGTTAATTGGACGGCGCAACACAGTACAGATGGACAATGATCCAAAACGCACTGCAAAAGCAACCCAGGAGCTTTTGAAGGAAAACAAGTGGAATATTCTGCAATGGCGGAGTCAATCACCTGATCTCCACCCAATTGAGCATACATTTCACTTGCTGAAGGCAAAACTAAAGGCAGAAAGACCCACAAACAAAGAACAACTGAAGACAGCTGCAGTTAGAGCCTGGCAAAGCATCAGAAAGGAGGAAACCCAGTCTTTGGTAATGTCTATGGGTTCCAGACTTCAGGCAGTGATTGCCAGTAAAGGATTCTCAACAAAATATTACAAATGAACATTTTATTTATGATTATATTCATTTGTCCAATTACTTTTGGTCCCTTGAAAAAGGAGAGATGGCTACTCTTAAGAGCTGGAATTCCTAAACCCTTCCTCCAATTTGCATGTACATACCCTCAAACTAAACATGAGAGTGTGCATTTCAGCCCATATCCATTATATAACTATAGCTTGAATATGTTTTGGTAAATACCTGAAAAAAACTAAAATTGTGCCTGTGTCCAAATATATATGGACCTAACTGTATATACACTCACCGGCCACTTTATTAGGTACACCCGTTCAGTTGCTTGGTAACACAAATTGCTAATCAGCCAATCACATGGCAGCAACTCAATGCATTTAGGCATCTAGACGTGGTGAAGACAACTTGCTGAAGTACAAAGCAAGCATCTACTATATACACTGGCCCCCCCATGACCCCATCTATTCTATATACACTGACCCCCCCCATCTATTCTAAATACACTGACCCCCCATAACCCCATCTATTCTATATACACTGACACACCCCCCCCCCCCTCTCCCCCCATCTATTCCATATACACTGACCCCCCCATGTATGAAGCAGAGCACAGAGAGTTTTGGGTGAATACTGATAACGAGGATGGACTCCATATATGAGGAGTGTGTCGGTCCTCCTATGGAATGCCCCCTCCATGGATGTGTAGTCCGGAGTCACCTTCATATCCTGGTGACAGCCCGGGGTCCCAGATGTGTGAGAAGTGTACACAGATCTGACCCAACAAGGTGTCCTGCATTTACCGTATATTTTGCTCCATAAGACACACTTGGGGGGAAATGTCTGTGCGTCTTATGGAGCGGCCGGCCCAGTATTCCCGCCGCCGTTGTATGTCCACAGTCTCTGGTCATCTCATGTACTATGTCCACAGTCTCTGGTCATCTCATGTACTGTGTCCGCATTTGTTCATAGTTTTTTTTTTAAAACTATAGTCCAGCCCTCCAACAGTCTGAGGGACAGTGAACTGGCCCCCTGTTTAAAAAGTTTGAGAACCCCTGCGATAACCTGTCCGCCTCTGTCCGCTTAAATGGTTTTAATTTGGAACCATTTTGGATATCTAATGGAACTAAACAGGGCTGTCCACTATCTCCCTGATTGTTCATCCTCACAGTTGGAGCCATTTCTTCAACATATTGGATACAATAGTTCTGTCCAAGGTGCGCTCACAAATGATTACCATCATAAGGTAGCGGCTTAAGCGGACGACTTGCTTTTTTATGTTACCAGTCCCCTTACTTCCCTGCCCTCCCTCCTGCTGGAATTGTAAAAATTTGGTACACGTTCAAATTTTAAAGTTAATCTTCAAAAGTCCAAAGCTCTAAACGTGTCCATACCCGCATCAACGATTGCTAGACTCTGCCATTACTTCCCATTCTAATGTGCTACGCTATTTATACGATGCTTGGGAACTAAAATCTGCACTGCACATCAAAAGCATAAAGAACACCATACCCACAGTGAAGCATGGTGGTGGCTGCATCATGCTTTGAGGCAGTTTTTCTTTAGCTAGAACTGGGGCCTTAGTCAAGGTAGAGGGAATTATGAACAGTTCCAAATACCAGTCAATATTGGTACAAAACCTTCAGACTTCTGCTAAAAAGCTGAACATTTAGAGGAACTTCATCTGTCAGCATGACGGCCCTAAGCATACATCCAGATCAACAAAGGAATGGCTTTACCAGAAGAAGATTAAAGTTTTTGGAATGGCCCAGCCAGAGCCCTGACCTGAATCCAATCGAAAATCTGTGGGGTGATCTGAAGAGGGCTGTTCACAGGAGATGCCCTCGCAATCTGACAGATTTGGAGTGCTTTTGCAAGGAAGAGTGGTGGAAAATATTGCCAAGTCAAGATGAGTCATGATAATAGACTCATACGCAAAAAGACTGAGAGCTGTAATAAAATCAAAAGGTGCTTCAACAAAGAATTAGTTGAAGGGTGTGCACACTTATGCAACCATATTATTTTAGTTTTTATTTTTATTTCCCTCTACCTAAAAGATTTCAGTTTGTTGTTCAACTGAGTTGTACAGTTTATAGGTTACATTAAACGTGGAAAAAGTTCTGAAATTATTTATCTTTGTCTCATTTTTTACATGACAGAAACCTGACATTTTAACAGGGGTGTGAAGACTTTTTATGTGCACTGTAGGTTATTAGGCAAGCTTGTGAAGTATTCCTTAGTTGTATCCAAACTTCCAAATACAAATTTGACAGGAATTTTACTGGGGTCAGGAGATTGGGGAGTTCAGGATGGAACTTACTGGAGTTTTTTTTTTTTTATTGGGGTTGTGTAAGATCTGTCTCTAGCAGTGCTTTATGCCAGGAGGAAGTAGCCAATGCAGTCCAACAGAACCACGTAAGACAGAACTTATTATGATTACCCTGTAACCATCATCTTAACACAAACTCTAGATATTGTAGTAATCCTAGTATGTCTGTAGCATAACTATAGCTGAAACGTATCCTTTCTTTAACTGTACATTTAAAGTGAGATCCCAACACTGCGTAAGTACCTACATCTAAGTGACTGTGTGTTAGTAGCTCACCTCAATAATCAACAGAAAAAATATGATCTGTCTGTCTGTCTGTCTGTCTGTCTGTCTATCTAGGCAGTGCTTAACTACATAAAATGAACTAAATAAAAAAAATAAGTGAAAAAATATCAAACTATAATCTAGATGTAAGTCCTTATTCAAAGTTTGTCTACAATTGAAACACATATCATTATTAAAAAAATGTATACGAAAATTATTGTTGCTATCAAACATCTGCTTTGTGAAGTGATAGACATCTTATCCAACACCTTGTGTAATCCTTCCAACCCTGAGAAGCCCACAGTGGATCATTCTTCAGAGGGTGTTTGACAGGTGTTGAGGAGGGTCCTTCAACGCTTGTTTTATCCCCTGAAAGCCTGCACCAGAGCACTGCAACCATGTGCATTGCATCGCAGCTCAATTCACTTGAATACTGGCCCACTGAATGCAACAGGGGTTTTAGTCCTTGCTGTGGCCAATAAGCAAAGCATAGTGGTTGCAACATGTGTACAGCCCCGTCTGCAGCTTAAGGTGGAGCATTTGGGGGGTGGTTAAAAAGCATTTCAACTGCATGTTTTAACCAGTAGCCTACAGGGCACTTATACACCCTTCCTGCCCAGGCCAATTTCCAGCTTTCAGCGCTGTCACACTTTGAATGACAATTGCGCAATCAAACAACACTGTACCCATATGACATTTTTATAATTGTTTTGTGACAGATAGAGCTTTTGTTTGGTGGTATTTAATCACCTCTGGGTTTTTTATTTTTTCTTAAACAAACCAAAAACCACTGAAAATTTTGAAATAAAAAACGTTTTTTCTTAGTTTTTGTTATAAA